ATAATAGACTAATTACAATGCCAGCTGTCGTCGCAGCGCCGTGACCGCTATTCTGTCTAAAGTCTGTCCTCTTGGCTCTATTTTTAACTACGAATGAAGTCGTACTATCGATCCTCGACATTGCATATCGCGGTTAGTACTCACGCTGCTCGAGTACGCAACTCCTCTCTGATTCCTAATATTAAAAACAAAAGGCGAGACTCCGAGCCCTGCCCACATCTCATAACAACGCGGAGAACGCGGGGATTCGTACTTCACGTCCCGACCCTCGCCCCCCTCGGTCTCCGGTTTATCCAACCTGGGTTCCCAAACCCCCCCGTCCCCCCTCAAAAAAATCATGCCCCACCACCCCCCCCCGCTCCCAGCTAAGAAGACTCAGACTCCCTCCCTCCCATTCCATGGTCCTCTCCCACCCTCCCGTTGGTGATTTGGGGGGCCGTCTGGGATCCGGCCCTTGAGGGGGGGGCTGTAGGGTGGGTTATGGGGGGGGCTGAGCCGCCGCCGACTGCGGAGGTGTTCCGTGTCCCCGAGCTGGAGCCGACTACGGAGGTGTTCCGTGTCCCCGAGCTGGAGCCGACTACGGAGGTGTTCCGTGTCCCCGAGCTGGAGCCGACTACGGAGGTGTTCCGTGTCCCCGAGCTGGAGCCGACTAAGGAGGTGTTCCGTGTCCCCGAGCTGGAGCCGACTACGGAGGTGTTCCGTGTCCCCGAGCTGGAGCCGACTACGGAGGTGTTCCCTGTCCACGATCCGACCCCGACAACCGCGGAGGTGTTCCGTGTCCCCGAGCCGGAGCCGACTACCGCGGAGGTGTTCCGTGTCCCCGAGCCGGAGCCGACTACCGCGGAGGTGTTCCGTGTCCCCGAGCCGGAGCCGACGACTGCGGAGGTGTTCCGTGTCCCCGAGCCGCCGCCGACCCCCCCGGAGGTTTCCCGTGTCCCCGAGCCTGCCATGCCAGAGACGTTCCGGAGCTGGCCAAATGACCGTCCGCCGGGCCGCCCACCGGAGGCTCCCCGGCAGTGTGCCTATCCGCCAGGCCGACCCCCAGAGGTTCCCCGGTCGCCTGGCCGCCCGCCGGGCCGCCCGCCAGAGTTTCCCGGGTGGTCCGACCAACGTCTCTGGTTTCCCTGCCCCCCCACCCCTTGTTTTGCTCTAGTGTGAGCCGCCTGGAAGTCGGTCCTTGAGGGGGGGGTACTGTCACGGTGTGGTTTCACTTCCTGTTGTATTTTGTAGTTTTCTGCCACTCGTGTCCCCGGGTAACTTCACTTCCTGCCTTGTCCCGTCATCCCCTGTGATCGTCTAATAGTTTCCACCTGTGTCCAATCACCTGCACCTCCCTTGTGTATTTAAGCCATGTGTCTCCTGTGTCACTTGTCGCGTCATTGTCTTTTGTCACACATGTTGCCTGCTGCTTTTCCTCCCGGTTCCTGTGTTTTTGACCATTGACTATTAAAGTCCCTTTTCTTTTTGAACTCTGCGTCTTGAGTCCTGCCTCCACCCTCACATCCCTGACAACATGACACCAAAATCCAAAAGATATTTCTTGTCTCTCTGCCAATCCGCTGATCACAACTGCCTCTTTTATTACACAGTATAATCAACGGCACTTTCTGGTGTGGGAAGGATGGAAATTTATAAGAGGGATAGTTTTTGTCTCCGTAGATCATATCCACAATCATGGCTTATTATTCATAAAATTCATTCATACCACTCCCCAGTTTAAATAACATTCAGGCTGAATGTTATACACAATTGAGCGTGTGGTCTCAGGATGGTGGCTGTTAAGTCACCTCCCTCCCCATTTAAAGAGCTACGCTGACTCAGCGCTATCAAGATGGTGATGGGCGGAAATCACCAATAAGAGTTTCAGAAACCTCTAGGTGACCTCAAACGGGTTACTTCGAAGAGAGCGTGTTAGGAAAAGTATGTTTACTGGAGAACGTAAAATATGAAAGCTAAAAGAGAAATATGCTGTGTGATTTTGTACTTGTAAAGTGCTTTTCTAGTCCGACCACTTAACGCTCTTCAACCCTACCATTAATCACATTTCCTTCTAAAGAGTGGACCAAATATCGTAAAGCACCGCAGTTAGTTTTGAATCTTACTTCAAAAGAAGTTTTAAAGATTCAAATGAAGTTTTTAGGATTAGGTGGCATCAGCGGTAAGGTTTCAGATAGTAAGATACTGAAACCATTATGCCAAACTTGTCAGAGCAGCTAACTCAGAAACATGAAAGCATCAACAGCCACAGTTAGGTTTGTCCATTCTGGGCTTTTGCACAAACATGGTGGCTGGCTGCGTGGTGAGGACCTGGGCCCCGTTCCTCGTGCGTGCCTAACTGATTTAGCCAGATCATTTCAGATCCAATATGACATCACGATGATGTACTGCACCAGCGCCATCGATGCTGAAGACAGGAATCATTTATTTACAAGAAGATTTTCGCGAGCCGTAATGTTACATGAACACCACACACTGCAGCCGCGCATCCACTGTCCAGCGGACATTGTCTCACACACTGTCTCTCATAATGTCTCACATAGTGTCTCACACACTGTCTTCCGCCTTCTAATGTAGGATGCGCACGCGCAATTATCCTGATGACTGACATCTGGTTCAAACTAACGAGACGGTTTGAGCCACGTACGAGGAACAGGGCCCAGCTCTTTATGTTGATATAAATTAATTATCCAAAGGTAACAACAACAGAATGTTTCTTATTTTTGGGTGATTATGCACTTAAGAAAACATGCTTATTTAGCTTGTATTTCATTTCAGCCAGTAGATCCCTTTATTGTCACTGATTGTACTTTTTTAAGCTCAAGGTGACTTCTCTAGATAATGCTATGGCTGGATTTGAATTGTCAAAAAGGATGGTCCAGTGGTTCCTAAAGGAGCTAAGTAAGGAAGCATTGAGGCTCCTTTCCTTAGCATTTAGAGAATTCAAACAGCTTTTATTATGGCACTACCCCCAGGTCCTTCCCTAAGCAAAAAGCACTATTCAAATACAGACTATATATTCCTCACAGCAGTTTTTCCCAGAAGGCATGATCACACTATGACGTGTCTCATATGAACACTGTCAACATGGAGCGCTGCCACGATATGATGGGAATATGAAGGGAGGATTAAGCTAGGTTGAAAAAATCTGGTTGTACCAAGTGTGTGTCTGAAGGTAAACAGACACAGTGGATTGGTTTTCTTCCATGTCTCTCTCTCTCTCTTTGCTTTAAATGTTGTGCTTAGAGGAGATGCAGCTATGCACCACCAAGCACATTGCATACACACATAGCTCACTGCACAACATTTCAGTAGCTTATGCAAATCCATCACTATCTCACAGAAACACACGCACACAGCACAGACACACGCAGCGTCTCAGGGATGGTTCGGGCCCTGAGGCAAGGCACTGCAGAGAGACCAGATGCCATTTGAACGCTATTTACAACACTTGAGTTCATACTTTTTCATATAAACACCGTTGTGGCAGTTATCAACTAATGACCATCCAGCAGGAGATGTGGAGTGGAGCCAGACGACAGCAGAACGTAGATGATGTCTATGAACACATCCTCCATTTCATCCCTGCCAGTCAATCACAAAAGCTGCAGAGCTTTGCAAATGTCACAAGGAAATTTAAGAGGCTAATCATAGTGAGTGTCATGTCAGGAAGAACTAATGGAAACTATTTTTTTTCAAATCACCCACCAGTTTGTTCTAAAGCTGCGCCTGAAGAAAGGTGTGGAAACACCAAATAGCATGCCAAGAACCGCCAGTTTGTGTGTGCGAGAAAAGCTCATCTGAGCTTTGGCATTTCACACATACCTGACAGGCGGCAGAAAGTTTTCATAGCTCCCGGCGGATGTTGGCAGAGTGGGCCGAAACACTACCGATATATGAGCTGCTTTGAGAATGTCACTAATGCGGTTTAGGTGAAAATTAAAAGTTAAGAAGTAACATCCTGTCCCTCCTCAAACATTGTTTTTCCCGGTTGTCATCTTGACTTTATGTTAACAGGAAAGAAATATTTCAAAAGGGAAGGGCAGGTGACATCATTCTTGACCTAAAATGCTGGTAGCTTTATTCTGTCATGTGGTATCACATTCAATAAAGCGGCAGCACAGGGCGTCTGTTAGTGAAATCGAATCCGTAGCAGCAGCAGAATTAGGTGATTTGTTAAATGGACTCATTTGGAGCTGCAGCATTTTGGGGGAACCTCATAGGTTTCATTGCAAGTTCAGTCTTGACCTGCTCTATGCAATAAGTAAAGATAGATCTTCTGGCTCTGCTTGTACTTCTCTCTCTCTAAATCTCTCGTAAGTCATGTTTTAACTGCTGCTACAAATTTTTGCATGCGATCATAATCCGCCACTATTGTAGCATTATGCATCTAAAACATATTATTATAACAATTCCTCTCCACATTCTGGATATGTGCACAAAACGTGTTGATGTGTTGACTCAATGGCTATTTTGCTGGTCAATATCTGCTCTTAAACCTTATTTTGAGTCAAAAATGACTCATGAGATCGGATTGATGTATAATTCAGCTAATCACTAATGTTCATTTATTTTTACATGTTTTTTAAAACCAGTGTTTCCGCTTCCATTATATACATGTAATGGCTTTTACATGTAGTAGCTCCTACATGTAATGGCTCTCACATGTAATGGCTCTTACATGTAGTGGCTCTTACATGTGAAGTCTCTTACATGTCGTGGCCCTTACATGTAAAGGCTCTTGCATGTCATGGCTCTTACATGTAGTGGCTCTTACACGTGAAGTCTCTTACATGTCGTGGCCCTTACATGTAAAGGCTCTTACGTGTCATGGCTCTTACATGTAGTGGCTCTTACATGTAAAGGCTCTTACGTGTCATGGCTCTTACATGAAGTGGCCCTTACATGTAAGGGCTCTTGCATGTCTTGGCTCTTCTGGGCTGGAATGGTTGCCCGAGGCCGTTAACAATCCAAGTCTGTTAATGGTTTTATGATTCACCTTAACACATACCTTTATTCTATGGATTTTAATTATGTTTATGACTATGTTGTTCAGTTTAAAAAATGTACATGCATTTACATGCATATACGTATATTTATGTCAATGATGTGTATGTATGTAAATGTCTCTATAAAGCACTTAGTTGCAAAACCCAATATAAATATATATTAACACATACAGTATAACGCCATTGTGAGGCAGTGCAGGAAGATAAATTATCTTCTTCACTAGCTGACACTAGCTAACTTTGCATTTACATAGTTCAATGCATACTTTTGAAGCATTCCAAAGTTTTACAGAAACATCAACATTAAAAAAACTGCACAAAGAGGATAGATTATATAAATATGTGTTTTGTGTCACTAAATTTGGGCCCTCAAACCCCACCCAGTTCTGAATTATTTTCAAATAATGGAAACTAAAACTTTGAACGGAAGCCACGTAACCAATAAGAATTTATTGACACAAGCACAATTTGTTACACGAAAATAATGGGTCACATTTACACCGTTTTTACTGGTCTAGAACTCAATGTACAATTAACAGACTAACTAAATACCAATAGTTAAATATGTACTCACATTGCACACAATATCATTAAAACCTACACAAAAAAACATGTACTGTGTGAAAGTTACACAAGTCAAAATAAAAATCGCATTATGTACAAAAAAACATCAATTTGAGATTTTTAGCAAAAGGACTCGGGTGTCTGTTGGAGGTTCTCCCATCTGTCCGTCAGAGACATTGTACAATCTATCATGTAAAAGCTCACCGCTATAAAGTATTATTCAGTCTCTTAATAGTTGAAAAGATTATTAAGTAATAAAATTGAATAGCCAGAGCTGAAGAACACCAAGTACACTAAATAATGCGCCTTGTTTGGACCGTATGGCGGTTTTTCCCTTTTAAAGCAGGCTGGTGAGATTAGCAGTTCGCTTCATGAAGTGCACTTTAAGCCTTAGCTTTGCAACGGTCTGCAATGAGTATTTGATTTGATTTAAATTTATACATAGAATCCTTCAATACTTGGGTTGTGGACATCACTGCACACAGCTCACACAATAAGGTTGATGGAGAAAGGGATGACAGATGGAGGTGTACAACACTCACAGAACTCTCACTGTGTGTAGGTATCGACAGAGGAGGTTGGTCGGCTGCTGCGTTACTGGTCCTGTTGGGATATTATGTGCATATGGTTATGCTTAAAGTTACTCATGAAAGGATGCTAACATGCCTGTGTTGACCTTTGGCTGAGCATAAAGCAGACTTCCACACGTAAAATCTGCAAAAGAAATTACGATTCATGTGAGCTGCAAAGGCCAACGGACAGCTCAAATGTATGACTGAGGGTGTGTTATTCTTCTAGATATTTATGTAAACATGTGTGCCTGCATTACAGTACAATCACGCTTGCAGACAGAGTTGCATGCTGCTGTTTGGTGAGACCTACAGCAGCATAGCAGGATGTGCTGCTTACACTCACTCTCAGCCCTGCAGGCTTGGTTCGAAGCATAAGGTACAGAACCTATTTTTTCCACCTCTTCTTTTGAAATATTCAATGTGCACAGAGGACTTTATGGAAACCCTGAGAGAGAAGTCTATTTTTGAAGTTTGATCGGAAGTTCCCCTTGTGTTTATCTTATTTGTATTTATTCACCTGCCAAAGCTTTTGTTTCTACTGTTCTACTGTCAGACACTCTAGTGTAGAACCCAGTGATGCTGTTAACGTAGAGCTGACGCACAGCCAAAAATGTTATGTGATTTGATCAAATCTATCTCGTTGAGTCAATAAATTCATATTTTGGTCAAATTTGAAGTTGTACAAAATAAGCTAAAACAATCATATAAAAAGAAACTTAACAATAATAAAATCTTGGCAAGAACCTCCAGACAGGGCTCTGTGTCAGCCCTGTTGCAGGACATTGACTGCACTGATTTAGTTGATGCTATGCAGCGGGGAGAGCACAATGATTTGTACTCCACAACAGATCTCTGGGTGTAGTGTAATAATTGGTCGAGCATACGTGGTGCTCATCTTCATGGACTGCTGACAAAATATGACTTGAGTTCTGGTTTGTCAAATGTGCGAGACAGGAAGAGTCAAATCTTGGATGGGAATAGTGGAGGCTGCCTGCAGGGAGCCGAACACACGGCCCCAGTTGTTCTCATAGCTGTCATCATTGAGATGGCGGAGAGCTGATGTGCCCTCCATCTGTCAGCGGGGTCCTTTTGCACAGATGAAGCACTGTATGTGTATGTTTGCAGCTATAAACATCAGTGAACTGTGCGTTTGTATGAATGCAAATGACAAGTGCACGCAGACATTCTCTGTGCTGCACATGGGTGATCCAGAAATATAGAAAAACGAAATAACATGACAGATGAACGCAAACTTCAGTCCAGTTCTGAGAGGGAGAGGGGAAGAGAAAATGGGGCGCCGGGGGTATTACTCAGAGAAGGGGGGGAACATGCCGAGGTCAGCGAAGTCCTCTATGTTGTAGTTGGCTGTTCCCTGGCTGGGATCTCCGGCCATGGGTAACATGTCCTGAAGAGACACAATACATATCACATATCTGCGTACAGCCAGCAGCTGTGTGTCACGGTGTGTGTGTTACCTGGAAGACTTCTGTCTGGCTGGAGTTGGGGTGTGTGTGCTGTTCACCGGCCTGCTGGGAGTGATGCTGGTTCTGCCACTGGGACCAGACCTCACTGGGACGACCCTGGAACTGGGCTCCACTCTGACTGCCCTCCCCTGAAACATCTGGAACCACACAGGGGGTTACACTTCCGACACAAGGAAGACTGATTGCATATTTAAAGTAGAATGGGACAATGGAACAGGAGCAGTGTGGTAAAATGGCATGTTGCAAGCATTAGTGTAGCAGCTATGTGAGGACACAGGGCAGTAATGTTATTTTACCGATACAAATCCCAGCCATACTAACGTATGATCAATTATTCTAATAAACACTGGAGAAATTAAAGTCTTTGTCACATAAAGGCCTGGTTCTCTGTGCTGTTACTATTACTTCAAAAAAGGCATTGCCCAACTGACAATCCTGATCTGCAGCTAAGAACTTGTACAGGGGATATGAAGGTACACACACACACACACACACACGCACATGCACTCTCTCGTACTCCAGGCAAGGCTGTTCGAGAGTTTACAGAGTATTTAAAGCAGGTGATAAGCTGCCTGCTTCCCTTGCAAAGGAGCATTCATACTGTTTCACAATAATGAACAAAAAGCTCATCTTTTTTTCTGGCCAGATAAGAGCGAGAGGCTGAGGCGCTGATGGAGAGAGGAGGCTGGTCTTGAATAGTTCAAGTGGAGAGCATCCAAGATAAAGAAAAAGCAACTCTTGAATCACTTGAATACTGATGAACACATGCAACAACAGAGCAAAGGAAGAACTGGCTGCTCCTCATTTCTTCGTCCTTCTAATTGGCTGACAGCAAAGAGGAAAAAACAACGGATGGGTACAGAGTAAAAATCAGAGAAAAATTACCCTGAACAATGAGGAAGTAAAGAATACAAAAAAGAAGGTGCAGAAAGATGGATAATGTATGTGTTCATTAAGAGGCTATCAAGTAGTCATTACAGACTGGACATGCTCTGTCCTGCAGCAATTTGAGCTGTGTGTATCAGTAAGATATTTAAATAAAGTGCATGAGAACATTGTATACACTTTTGTTTGGAGTTATCAAGTTGAGTTTAGTCCCCAATAGGAGCCAGACATTGTTGCCTGTCCTTGTGTGAACCCTCTTACCTGGCCTCGGTGTGTAACACTCAAATACTTTCTATAATAGCTGTAAGGTGTGTGTGTGTGTGTGTGTGTGTGTGTGTAACTAAAGAGTCAGGACAACAAAGCCAGGTACTGCTGTGGATGCATTTAGACATCTAAAAGGATCCATATGTGTCAATTTACAAAGTTTTCCCTCTTTAACTCGCTGTCAGACAAACCTTTCAGCCTGTGTGGGATAGGAAGCTGAAAAGGCAATTCACAAAAATGTATATTTACGCTGGATGCAATTCATTAATGAGTGTGTAATTGTGTAATGTGTAATCAGTGTAATTAGATCTGTACCAAGACTAAAATAAGCCAGAAAGGCTTGAAAGCAGGAGGGAGGCTTTCGCATTTGAACGGAATACATAATGTGATCAAGTGTTGGTTCAGGTCTTCCTTCTCTCTAATGTGAAAGGATCTGTTGATGCATTTCAGTGTTGAAACCTTTTCACATTAAAGGTTCCTTCCATCATTTGACAGGACACCAGCTTCCTGCTACTACTGCACACATCCAACTCGGTGTATTAAAAGTGCTTTCATGGGACAAAGACAAGTGGAAACGATCACAGTTTGTGACATACACTCAAGATTAAGATTCTTAAAAGCTCACATTTGTAGTCTCCTCTGCTCTCCACATGATTACTAAATATAAATATTATGGATTGTGAGTGAGTTGGTTGTATAATCACGAGGTTGTGTGTAATACAGATTAGAAGTAGAAGAAGTCAGACAGAAGCTGCACATTAATGTGTAATATCTGACTATATTTCTGTTGGGAGGGAGCTCTGCATATTCAGATCTCCCTTTGGTTTCTTCGCTGCGTGACTCCCCCGTGCTTGCTAGCAGTTGATGACGTGGGCTGAAGCTCACCTAGCCTCGCGTAGACAAGTTGACCTATGGGTTCCCACAGTGATGCAGCCCTCTAGAGTCAGGGTGTTTGCACTGTGTCCGTTTAAAGTCAACCTCCACGTTCACAGTAAGATGAGGATATTGCTAACGTGCTAACGTGAATAGCGTGTGCCTAACCAGAGCACTCGCTCAGCACAATCTACATGAATAGCAACTCACAGGACTCTCGGTTGCTCAGATACTACTGAGTCAGGTCACCATAGTAAGTCAGTGCTGATGTAGTTTTGGACTTGGTTTTCCGCGCTGGGTTCACAGGGAAGCTGTGCCTCGGGTGTTAGACCACACACCGAGCTGTGGATTTGGGTATCCTGATTTCAAAGTCACCAAGCCCTACCTGATAGGATCTGCAGATCTCCAGACAGAAGACCAAGACACACAGCTACGTGACACACATAGCTCCCTACAGATAACTCCCTAATGAAAGAGGAGGGGGGCTCACCAAAAGCTGTGCTGCGGTTGGTCAGTCCTGAGTAGGCATTGCTGCTGGGGGAGGAAGTGGCCGGGGATGACAGGGGGCTGTATGACGCCGGGTCGGTCTGGTAGCTGTGGCCAGAACCAATACCAAATGGACTGGACTGGGCTTTGCTGGGCTGGAGAGATGCACAGCGTATCAGAGGTGTGAGGTTCACCGTAAAACAACATGCAGGAATCACAGCCAACTGAGGGAGTATGTGTGCAAACCCCAGGTATGGAACATGCAAGTACGAAGCTACTTCATGATAAAAAGGTTAAAAAGTCAAAATCATTGAAGATGCTGGTGCTAATTTCCACCTGCATGATTGTCACATTGACATTGGAGAGTTTAGTGTTTCAATCTGAGGCAACATTCAATATGCTGTTGAAAGAACAAATTGAAATGGGAATACAAAATGGAGAAAAATACTTCTCTATCATTATTATTATTTGTTGTTGTAACTTTTATAATTTATCAAAATTCTAAAATATAAGTCCACAGAAGAAAAGAAGGTGTTCAGTTTAAGTCGCTGTGTAAAGAAATGTTTACAGCAAAAGCAGCTTGGAAAAACCACAATAATTAGCAGAGCTTTAAGGATTTCAAAACGTAATATTGAGTCTAGCTTGCTGCTATTATGTTCATGATAAACTAACAACCAGGATGAGTTTCTTTACTTCTCTAATTCAAGCCCCAGCTGTAGGAAGAACATCTGACAAATTTCTCCTCAATGTTTTCAGGCAAATGGGCTTTTCCATCGTTGGGTACCTTGAGAGGGGAATCGAGGCTAACCTATCGCTGTTCAAGGACACAGACAATCCATAAAGAGTAGATGTTTGCTGGAGAGGAGAAAACATTCAGCCCTCGCATCATCTGCCTCTACTTGCTGTGTTGAAATTAGTGGTCCTGTTAGAAAACATATGCTCAGCACATTCCATAGAGGGAACATGAGAAACACACGCAAAATGACCAACTAACGCTGTTACAAGAGCAGCCACAACGGCAATCATCGAGACTGCTGCCACCATGCTTGACCCAGAGGTGGTGGTAATATATGTGTGCCTGTTACCTGTCCAGAGAAGGGGGGGCGGTTGCCTGACCATGCCACCTGGCCAGGATTGAGCTGTCTGGAAATCTGTGCCAGGTTCTGATTGGTTGAGCCTGACGGCTGGATGTCGTTAACACCGGGGACATGGATCACAGAGGAACTGTGGGCACCAAGACACATCACAGAGAGACACTGTACCATCACTACCCACATTGTTACTGAGGCTTCAACATAAGACTTTACCTGATATCAGATAAAACGCCAAACTATAAAGAATATTGTACTGTCAGTCTGATGTCATGTTGCCCTTATTTAGCTCATGTATAACTGCGTAGCGTCCAAACTACTCAAAATATATGGGGTCAAAGGATTTCTTCATTGAGAAGCTGCTGCCTTGGCAACCCCCTTTTGAAGGTTGGTGATGAGCGCTGCATCAGAGGGGGAGACGCGTACCTGAAGCTCTTGCCAGCGTGCGCCTGCTGGAAAGGAGAGCTCTGAGAGTACAGCTGCTGTCCTCCAGCTGTGGAGGAGGGAACCATCATCTTCTTATCTGCCGCTGCACACACACACAGCGGGTCAGCATTATAGAAACAACAGCAGGAAGCTGCAACAGTGACCGTGAGTTACTGGCATGTGTGTGTGTGTGTGTGTGTGTGTGTATAGTGTCGTACAGCCAGCGATGCCAGTGTACATCTCAGCAAAGCGCGGGTCTCTCTCCTGAGAGAACAGGACTTCGGGCTTGTCGATGTTCTTCGCTGCCTCGTGGACTCCACCGCTGACGCTGGCCACAGGCACCTGAGTGTGAGGTGAACATTGGGAAGGTGAAGGAGGGCATTTGACATTTGACATTATGGATGCTACAGCCAGGTCACATGGCAGCCCTTAAAACATGATTATACCATACATGTAGATTAGTCATTATTTTAGGTTCTTCAACTACATTACATGGAGACTGAAGGTATATTTTGGATCCAGCAGCTTATAAATGAAGGAGGGGTCATTATCACACACATGTGACAACATTCCAATGTTGCAGTGCTGTCAGATTAGTGCCACTTCTATTCAAATGAAAGTGGCGGACATGAATGGTGATATGTGCTGTCAAATTGTCTTATTAGCTAGCACAAGCCTGGCGTGACAGCAATGAAGCTAGCGAGGCTGTGACATTTGCTTCAGCTCCCTGTTTATTTCTTGTACAACACAAGGATTCTTTCTCCGACCTTATGTTTCAACGTAAAATATTACTGGCTATCATTAGAGGAACAAAATGCAAATGCTAAGTTCACTGAAGAAGAAGGCAGAAGCGGCCTACTGTGATAAGGTCCAGATAGCGCCACCTTCTGACGTGGGAGGGAAGATTATTGAGAGAGCTTTCAAACATTAGCCCTCACATATGGAATAGCATCAGAATAGCAAGTAGAATAATCCAGCCATAGCACCAATGTGAGCGCTATGACATAGTGAGCCTTCCTGTCTTTTTTATTGTATTGAAATTTGTCTTGGAATCATCAGTGTCTGCTGTTAAGAAATACAAAAAATAACATCTCCACAGACTGTAGCCAGCCAACAGATACATTTCACACTACCCGTCGTGTGTAGGTGGGATCAAAGACAGAAAAAGCGTTAGGCTCTGGCTAGCTTGCCATTTAGGGCTTTAATGGACAGGGGGACAAAGGAGTTCTTAAAGCAGTTGACCCTACACTGGGGGAAGGGTCTGCCTGGGGGAAGAAGCTGGTATTCAAGGTTCAAGGTCCAAACCAGACCAACCAGATGCCAAACCGCAGGATGCTGTCAACAATGGCATGGTAGAAGAGGAGCAACAGAAATGGGCCACTATAGTTCTGTGCATGCACAACTCTCAACAGAGATGAAATCCAGCCAATCCAAAGACGAGGTTTGTAACCAATTAGATGTAGAGATACCATGGTGACTGGGTCCACCAATGTCACAAACAAAAACTGCGAGCGAGCAGAAAACAGCTTCGCGATCGAGCAGGTTCAAGTTTCGCTAGAGAGACTTTTGCTTGCGAACGTTTGATCGTACGTACATGGACCTGATTTTCACTTTTAGATTTTGTCAATGATTTGCCTTAATACAACACTTTCTGGTTGACACCAACGACCCTCGAAGAAAGTATACCTGCTGTTGGATCCGAGCAGACATTTTCTACCTGAATAGTCCATGTCAGTTTGTTACAGATGTGTATGCCCAGCTATCTGTAAGTGTCAACCTGTGTGATGTTCTGCTCACACTGGTGAGTGGTCTCAATGGATTTGGGGTCGAATACCATCTCTTTGGTTTTCTTGAAATTTCTTGACAAGGCGCTCTAAAGCTCAGGGTTACCTGTGAAAGATCGTAGGCAGTCAGTCCATCCCTTTGGTGCACCTCCAGCTCCGCTTGCTGCTGCTGCTGTAACTGCCTGCAAAAACACAACACCCCATTAGGACCATGTCATATTAGTCCATCTAATGAGATACAGTGCCCAACGTTAATGGCACCCTTTAGTAATAAGGAGCATGCCAAGATCCGAAAACATGACATGACAAGACATTTCATTCAAAATGTACACAAAAAAGCCTCATTTAAATAAAGGTTAAATTCTTATGATGAAACAAATATTTTCCATGTGCCACAATTATTGGTACCCTTTCAGTTAATATTTTGTCCAGCCTTCCATTGGCAAGTTAACAGCTAGGAGTCTTGGAGGAATGTGATGGCCGCGTCAAAAGCTTTACTTTGTGGTCCAAGGAACCATCTTTGTGTAGATTGTATTGTTATCCTGCAGGAAGGTCCAACCAGGGACCACTTTAAGCTTCCCAGCAGATGTTGTTTTAATATCTGCTAGTAGTTAAAGGAGTCCATGCTACCAAGTATCCTAACAGGGCCTTTGGAAGAAAAGCAGCGTCACAACATCAAAGATCCACCACCATACTTCACAGTGGTATGAGGTGCTTCTCTGTATGACGATCTTTTTTCCTCCACTTCCACCTACACACTGCCCCCTATCGTCAACACCTCCACACTGCCCGTCAACACCTCCACACCGCCCCTTAAGCCTAGTTTATGCTTCTGCGTTTTCAGAGCGACACAGACGCAAGAACCCCTTGCGTGTCCCTTGCGTCGCTTTTCATACCTCCTTGCGTGTGTCGAGCGACGCAAGCCAGGCTGCGATTGGTCCGCTAACTACGTCCTTCACCGAGTCTCACATTTCCGCTTTCATAGCCCGATACCGCAATTATTAAAACGAAGAATGTTTACGAGAGAACGGATCAGATTTAAGAACTTTTGTCAGAAGAAATGCGTAAATATGACCACTTATACAAGCCGTCATTGGCGGGTTGTATAAGCGGGTGGATCCCCTCCACACTGCGCCCTCCTTCAACACCTCCACACGTCCACCTCCGTCAACACCTCCACACTGCACCCTACCGTCAACACGTCCACACCGCCCCCTAACGTCAACACCTCCACACTGCCACCTAACGTAAACACCTCCACACTGCCCCCTAACGTCAACACCTCCACACTGCCCCCTACCGTCAACACGTCCACACCGCCCCCTAACGTCAACACCTCCACACTGCCCCCTACCGTCAACACGTCCACACCGCCCCCTACCGTCAACACGTCCACACTGCCCCCTACCGTCAACACGTCCACACTGCCCCCTAACGTCAACACCTCCACACTGCCCCCTAACGTCAACACCTCCACACTGCCCCCTATCGTCAACACCTCCACACTGCCTCCTACCTTCAACACCTCCACACGTCCCCCTACTGCCAACCCCTTCACACTGCCCCCTAACGTCAACACCTCCACACTGCCCCCTACCGTCAACACCTTCACCTCCACACTGCGCCCTACCTTCAACACCTCCACACGTCCTCCTACCGTCAACACCTCCACACGTCCCCCTACCGTCAACACCTTCACACTGCCCCCTAACGTCAACACCTCCACACTGCCCCCTAACGTCAACACCTCCACCTCCACACTGCGCCCTACCTTCAACACCTCCACACTGCGCTCAACTGTTATCAACTTTTCTTTTAATATTTTTGTCAGATTTAGGCTGTTAAATGGTGTGTGTGTAAGGGAACCTACTTGACGTTTGTGTTGGTACAGATGATGTACTCTATCTCATCAGAGTACGGGTTCTGGAAGGTGAAGCTGCTGGTTCGGATCAGCATCCACTCTCTATTCTTCATTCGGAAACGATACATCACAGACAGAACCTGACCCTTCAGCTTCACCACCTGCAGAAGGAGGAACAGTACTGATTCATACCACTGTTTTAACATGTGTTAATTATCCAGCTGGGTCTGTAGATGAAAGGAGTAGAAATAATACTGTGACAACAACTTCATGTATTTTACTACCATTAGAATATAAATAATAGAATATATAAAACTATTTCCAGTTTACCAATGATCTCCACAAGAATAAAGACCCCTTTGGGTCCAGCAAAGAGCTACCGCCCTACCTGTTGGAAACTTTCTCTCAAATGACTCTGGTCCTCAGGATGGCAGAACTCCAGAATATCTTTCCCCAGCAAGTCCTACAAGACAGCATATACATCACCATTCAATATGAACTGTTAAAGTCTTTTCTCAATACAAAATGGTAAATTTTCAAATTTCCTTACGTTATGAATTATTCTCTCACCGTCACACTGGTTTTGATCTAAAGATCTTAATGTCTTTTTTAACTTAATTAACCGCCTATTAATCATTATTTTTATATTTTCCTCTGACTTGATGAAAACATTCATCAATACATGAAATGCACTTCAGTTGAGGGGAGAAAGCCTTTCAAACCTTTTCCTCAAAGGGGAGAGGATATCAATCACATATCAGTTGATTTGTTTGAAAAGTAAGATAAATGTGTTGCAGTAAAATACAAAGAACGGTCTGCACAAATACAATAACAAGTACATTTCAGGAATATCTTCCAAACACAATCTATTTGTTATGAAAACTAATGTGATCCATGATTAAGTGATACCCTGTAAGAAGTTTCTTGTAAAGTAATAGAAGAAACAGGCTGACTGGTCACAGGAATGTGTTCCACAAACCAGTGCGAGCAGCAAATGTTTCTCATCATGGTGTGCTTGTTTCCACTGCACTCCGTAAAGTACTGCTAAGTCATGGAATGTGTTCCTGATGCAGAGATTCATTCATCTAAGGCTGTATCGTGACTAGGGTAATGCCACGCAGCCTTAGTGAGTTAGAGGTGCTGGTTATTCAGATATGAAGACTTTGAAAACTGACAGGTGTTCACGTTAGAGAGATTTCTGACATCCTGACATTGTATGCATGTATAGTGCATTCAAAAAGGCATTTCTCAAGACAACAGGTAAACATGAGGATGTGTTTGTATCAACAAGACAAACCATACCAAATATGTAATAAAGGCTCAGCTCTCTCTACAGTTGAAATCAAATCAGGATTATCCCACCTTAATAGGGGACTTAAAAGCTTGTAAAAAAGCTAAATTATTTATTATGAATGTCCATGACATCTCCAGTCCCTTTTATCTTCCTAGCTAACCTGAGGCTGATAACCAATGACGTTGATGCAGCGCGGGTCCACAAAGGTAATGACGCCATCCGAGTTGTGACGTGACAGGAACTCTGTGGGCACAGACAGGCCGTTCATATCCATGGAAACCGGAGAGCTGGTCACCTGAGGGATGGAGCGCACATATTTAATAGAAATGCACCGATCGATCAGCTGCTTTCAGCTGAACTCACGACATGTTGATCACTTTTATATCCATTTTTGCAGGTCAAAGTTCTGAAATATGCAACACTAAAATAAAAAAGCATACCTGTACTAGGGCGGCACAATTATGGCCAAAATCACAATCAATATTAAAATCACGATTGTTTATCACTATTATTCATTATTTTTAGGGATGTTTTTATTGCACTTTCACATTTGAATAAACAAGAATACTGCTTCCACTTAGCTGAGCTACATTCTGGCTAAAGTACACATCTTTGCATCAGACTGGTCCTTATCACAGTACATCTTGTAGAAGGGAAATATAAATGAAATAGTAAAAAACACCTTTTACCCCAAATTAAATCAACAGCGCACTGTTTTCAGTTCCATGTTGAGCTGCATTCCAGCTAATGCACACGTTGTTGTATAAAAAAACCGTATATAGTTCTTATTCACCTGAGGCAGATATAAGTCAAAATGCTACCCAAAATAAAGGGCTGACTAAAAATACAATTTCTTTATATAATGTTTATTGGACACATGTCTTTGGCCAAATGAAATTGCAAGCGTTATTTCAGTGAGTCTTTGGAAGGTGGATGGATACGGTGTTGCTGTTCTGCTTTTCTGGCTTGACGCCAATGGACATGGACCGAGATTTAGTGAGATAACATTAGTTTTGGCCTTGCTGCATTCGATGTACTCTGGTTTGTGTGGTTTTTCAGGGGGTGGAATAAGTTGGTTGTGTTGCTATGCGGCGCAATACAACTCTTACACACTCTGTACATATGATTTGTTCTTGGTTAACGCTACTTCCCCTACATCCGATGAAAGAGGATCCTTTGAAGCATTAGCTCCTCGCCCTCATCTGGTGACATTGGATTTACTTTTCACACCGTGTAGTCTGCTCTCTGTTCTGTCGTCTGTCTCTGTTCTGATATCCATCTCTCTGTTCCGGTATCTACCTCTGTCCTTGTGATTAAATTCAGATTAATTGTGCAGCCCTAACTAACCCCTCGTGAAAGATTGTGAGCACTGAGTTAACGTTAACAGACATCGATTTGACGTACATGATGATACTTTCAAGACGCATACATTAGGGGCAAAAGTAAATTTACTTGAAAAAAGAAACTTGAATGAATCCAGTTCTTTGAGTTGTGTGGGTCGACTGTGGGTAGGTGGAGAGCACGGCCGTCCTCCAATCAGAGGATCGTCTGTTCGACCCCAGGACCCGCTGACCAGTGTGTTGACGTGTTCTTGAGCAAGACATTTAACCCCAACATTGCTCCTGTAGCTGTGACTATGGCGTGTGAATGTTATTTACTGATGGGCAGGTTGCCCTGTGTAGGTTATCTCCTGTCATCAGTGTGTGAATGCATGAATGATAACATGATTGGTCAGAAGATTAAAAAAGTGCTGTACAAATACAGACCATTTACCATTTAAAGGAGGTTTTCATTGCAATATATACAGATATTATATATGAATTATGACCTGTTAAATCCAAACACTTGTTCTTGGCATCTCTTGGAAGGTGATTAAGTACTATTGTTCATTATTTATTATTATTCATCATTATTGTAACATTACAAATTTTTGACAGTTTACACTGACTAAGCGACGGTTGAAGCGATCTTTCAGGGAGGTGGTGATAAAAAGTTAGTCTGCAGACGTCCTATCAAGTACAGTTCTAAGAAGGGAAATTGGAGTCAAGGAGTCGGACAAAAGATGTGAATGTCTTCTCTTTGCTGAAGGTTGCCGCCCGGGTAAAGCACAGAAAACATATTCTATATTTTCAACATTACTTGAGGGAGAAATCAAAGGGGTTCAATTGGCGACACACACCTGCAGTCTTCCAATGGCCACTAGGCAGTATTTCCCAGTCTGACCGGCCTCGGTGTCTTCTTCTGGTATTGTCATACCTGATGGAAACACAGAGTGCAATCGAGTCAGGTGTGCAACAACAGGCAAACACACACGGATCATGGACATGGATCTATAAATCATGTTTACCAACAATACACTGACATATTTCATTCAAACGTGTTCCTTTCTGTCTAGAGAAGGGCAAGGCTTAATTGTCTTTGGATGGTACATCTGCAATGATCAGTCAGTCAGTCCCAGTAGCTGAGTTCAATCCAGCTATCCTGCCACGTTTCTTATCCAAAATCCTTTTCTACTGGTGAGCGTGAGTGAGGGCGCCTACTGGCCTCGCCTGAGGTACACATTGAAAAAAATCAAATGCGAATATGATCGTTATGATTACACCTAATGGGGACATATTATGAAAGTTCCACTTTGATAGGTCTGCTACACGTTACAGTGGCTGTCTAGCATGTCTACAAACCCCCGAAACGCCGGGGAAAAATAACTTGTATGATTCCTGTACTGAAATAATACTAATAAAAATGCCTCGTTTGCTAGTTCTGGGCCTGGGTCCTCCCTGCACCACATGTTAGCATGTCGCTGAGGGGTGCAGTGTTGCGTTTGGGGGATAGTTGTGACAGAATTTACATTTCCATGGGATATAGTAACTACCGCAAACACCATGAATATTTCTGTGAAATAGTTTGATTGTTGAAGGTCTAACTAAAGTAACCTCACGGTGAATTAAGAGGCTGTGTAGGAGTTAGCTAGGTTAGCATCCTGTAGTGTGTAAGACCTAACTGCCCTTGAGAAAAGGCTTTTGTTGTGACGGTTAATAGTCCCCCTGCATATATGATTCATTCATTTCTCCTATTGAGACCTTTTGACACAACAATGAGTTTTGCCCGGGGAGCAATTAGGGGTTAGGTGTCTTGCTCAGGGACACTTCGACATGGGACATGGGGCAGCTGAGGCTCGGGCCTTGCGGTTCCCAGTGCACCCTCCCACCGACGACCCCAATCAGGAGAACAGTGTTGTAGTATCACTGTTACATTGTTGCACCAGCTGGTGTTGGAGAAGAAGCACCTGCCCATCAGTAAATACCAATCACATCATACAGGAGCAATGTTGGGGTTAAGTGTCTTGCTCAAGGACACATCGACACCCGGGTCAGCAGGACCTGGGATCGAAGCGCCAATCCTCTGATTGGAGGACGGCTGTGCTCTCCACTCACCCACAGTCTCCCATCAACGCTGTAGTTATTGATTATATAGATGGGAATCAGAACTTTCAGTTTTTGGTCAAGTAGCTTGTGAAAAATAAGGTAGGTGAGGTCAGATACATATTTAATCAGTATTCAGTTTTAATGATGGGTGACATATTCAATTCTGGACACTACGAGCTCCTGGCTGCGAACAAAGGATCCACTGATCATACTGATGCTACAATGAGCGCTCTAATCTACAGCCCATCCAAAGGCTAGAGGCAGGGAGAGTCTACGAAAACATATAAAAGCTCTGTAATCACGTTCACATTGACCAGCAGGCTGTTTAATATGCAGCAATCACAAAGCAGACGCACATTCCTTCAAGATAACATGTCACCATGCAGTGAGAGAGATGAGCCTCCATCAGCTCGTCTACACATAAAACCACAAGCATCATTCTGTCAACATTCCTCTCCTGCACTGTTCAAGTCCTGTTTCTGTTATCCATCTCCAAGTTATGAGTCGCCTGCTGCTGACTGTTCCCGGAACATTCCAAGGAGTATTTTTAGTGCAAGAGAAATAAACCATGTGTCAATGATTCCAAAACACACATGCTGGCCGTGTATATATGTGTGTGTATGTGTGTTGTACCTGGGAAATGCTCCAGTGTGACCTGGAATTGCTAAGAGGCCATTTAGTAGCGTGCACTTGATGTTGATTCATCCACTTTAATACTCCATTCCCTCTCTTTGTAAACACTGCATAGAGTGTGTGTGAGTGTCATACATCTGAGTACATCTGAGTCCGTGTTTGTTCCAGGACCAGAGGAAATTACAGCTTTACTGATAAACGCTATGAGGCAAAGTTGAATTAAATATTTCTAATTAGTTTAAAACCTGGTCTTGAGAAGACTTGAGAAGAGATTTTTCTGTAAATCCTGCAGGATGGTTTCAGTTCGTTGTAAATAAATGTCCGTACAGAGTGTCTGCTATTCCTGATATTTTTTCCAGAGGTTTTGAGTGACAATCTTGTAATTTCAGGTTGTGGACTGAACCATAATATGTGAGTTGAGAAGCAAAAAATGTCTTCTCCTAAACAACTGTGAGGAATGCTGCTGTAAGGTGACATGTTGAGGCAGCATGAATGCAACACGCTCAAGCTGAGTAAAGAAACTGCAGCAGAGAGGAGATCAGAGGGAATCCCTGGTAGGGGGACACACTCCACAGCAAACACCTGCACTGTCAGTTGGGAATTTAGTCACACACAAGACATACTGAAAAAACACTCTGACAAAGATATGAAATGTTTGTTTTACACTGAAGACAAACAATGATGCTGTGAGAGCTGCCGCATCACTTGATGGGATAAATGAAGCACACAGGCTGTGATGATGTGAGCACAGCTGCTTTAGGTTGGACCAGGCTACTCTGACCAGGGAGTCATGCAGGGAGCTGAAGTTTGGGTTAAGCAGGGACAGAGACCAGAGCATCCAGTTAAGGATGTGCATGAGTGTGTGTTTGTTTACCTGCAGGCGGCCAGGCTTTGATGTAGCCAGTGCAATGCACCACAGAGTACTGAGCCTCTCCTTCTTTTGAAGGCCCAAGGCCATTCCTATCCATCAAACAGACATAGCAGCATGTTAGGTACCCAGACACAACAAAACAGACTTGTAACAATCAGACTGCTTTGAGTAGAAGCTTTAGGAAACAAACACTCACACAATATGCATATACTTTTTAGGAACATATCTAATGCTACATCTATACACATTTAGAGAAAAATAACAAATAATACAATATGATATTATGTCAACGTTGACTCTCATAACATAAACATGCTGGTGTCACAAAAGAAATGTTATATAAGCTGCTACATTGATTGTGCTAACCAAACCTGAAACAAGTCAGATTAATTTATTCAGCAATAGCCCCGTATAGAGAACCGTTATCTCCCAGAGCCCTGAACGCTGTATTTCAAGCAGAGATTATTTGCAGGAAGCAACCTTTACACCTGCATTCTTTCTAATGGCCATCAGAGGGCATCGCAAGTCCAATTTAGATCCGTCTGTAATTTGGTCACTTTACGAGAGTTTTTTGTAACATTGACATCCTTAAAATATCGTATTCAGCGTCCATGTGTGCTCCACCCGAATGCCAAAGTCAAGCCTTCAAAACAACTGTCCACACAACAGTGATGTCATAGGGACTACGTCCACCTCTTACATACAGTCAATGCTGTGAGCGTGGATAAAAACTGATGTGATCTGGAAAATGTCAGCATTTTGGATTTTACTGTGGATTTTACCAGCTGGGCGCTTAATCTGCGGGAGAACCCTGAATCTCAAAAAAAGATTTTATTAGTCAACTCCAATTTGGAAGGCTGACAGGAGCGAGAGGGAGGTTCAGACACAAAGTAATTTGTGGATTAGGAAGCAAGTTCCTGTACCTGTATCTCTTCCTCATGTTCGACAGGCGGTTTAGGGAGATGTGATCCAGAGGAGCAGTCCCACACCTGCACACAAATGAAGAATGAAGACAAAGGCGTACATTACATTCCAGTGGGACATGACTCCAGCTAGTACGAGGAAAAACCATATCCACCATTCACTGACAGAGCTCACGTGATCGCTTCTTTATGGGCATGAAATGCTGTTACTTCACCACAGGTCACACAAACTCTTCCAAGAAGACAGCGTTGGTTCTTCAAAGAGGGAAGTCGGTCTCTATGACTCTGCTGGTATACAATTTCCCACTGACACGCTAAAACACCACGTAGGAATGAATAAAGGTCATTTACTTCATCGAATCAAATTAAACAATAAGAAGTTTGGAAGTATATATTGTGGCATCAGATGGGGACAAGTAGTAGATGGGTGCTGCTTCCCCTTTAAGGGGAACAGAGGCGTCGTTCCACCGGGGCCGCAACCCGGATTTCAAAACCCTGAGAGTCGCCGGTGCTATCTCTGTGGCGAGGTAGGACATATTTCATGGCAGTGTGAAAGGCTGGACCAACCTATGCCCACAGCAGAGTCCGTCGGCAGCCCCAATGTCCACTTTGCAGCCCTCCTGGAGGAAAATATTTTTTCATTTGCAACTCTATTGTGTTTTTTGGTCAACTTGCATCCACTACGCCTCCCTAGCAGGCCATAATGGCCCCCTGAGACCTTAGAATATATATTATGTTCATATTTATATATTGTATATTCATAACTGTATTCATTAGTGTATAATCACCAGACAAGTCATTGTTTTCCGTTTTCTTAGGAGTCCTCCATGTTTATTCAGCAGCACAAACCAAACTGCGGCTTTAGAGAGAGACTTTCACGTTGTGACCTGCAGATCTCAAACAGCGACTAACATCTCTTGTTTTTCTTCCTGCACGAATCAGTGACTCAATACCATCCCACGAGTTACATATGCTGCATGTCGCGTCATGGCTCTGTAGCACTGTTACCCCTGCACAGCGTGTGCAGCTTGTAGAGTGAAGGCAGCCCTTGCTTCCAGCCAAAGGTCCTTTAAGGATGTTTTTCTCATGGCTGAACATTGCATAAGCCGGCCTCTCAGCCACATTTATGTGCGTGTCACAGAAGTGGTTGCGTTTAACTGACTGCTTGCTTCCTGACTGTGTCCCAGCAGCATGTTGTTTGAATTATACAGAGCTTAGAATAGCAACAGAACAGGAAAACATGCCAGCCCAATAACAACTACTAATGCATTCCACGCCGAGGCTCTCGTGCGACTGGCAGGCCTTTGTGATGGATCCAGACAAAACAAGTAAACGTAAACCAGTGTGTTATTTGGTTACAATAAAATCATCTAGTTTGTAGCACAATGAGTAATTATCCAAACAGTGATATCCTGACACAGAAAGAGAAACATTAGCAGAAAACGGAGTTCGTAGAGATGTCAACAGATGGCAATGATTATAAGAATACAGGAGGTACAATGTCCGTAGCCCATACAACCTCTGCAACCACGCCAAGGAGCAAGGGCACCTTGCTTGAGCTTCAGTTTTTGGGTTTAGAATGTTGCTGTTTGGCAATAAGGAGCTGCTGTTTGTACAACCATTTGGTGCGCCCTCCTCTCTCTGGAGGTGAGGGGGTTCGTTGGTAGCAGCTCAGCAGGACTCCTGAAGGTTTCACGTGGGTTCCAGCTCAAAGAAACGCAACTGTCACTCAAGGCTTTCGTGGTTCAGATTGCATGATCCCATCTACTGTTTCACAGTACATGTGTTCTTACATCAGGGCTCCATTGGTCCCCCTTTGTTCATTTTACTGACCCTTCATCTGAATCTAGTGTAGAAAAAATGATTCACTTGTTGACTGATTAGAGAGGTATGGTATGGTATGGACAGATGGACGCGTCAATGAGAAAACATTCCTCAATCTGACCCTCGCTGTTATCTGTTATGTTAGGACATACCATGTAGTGTGATCGAATGCTGGATGCATCTTTTAACCTTGCATTAGTGAAATTGTGAAGTTTTTTAAATGATGAGCTTTTGTAAGCCTTGCTCACACTGCGTGCTGTGGATGTTTGCACAGTCATTCCAAAACAAGAAAAACAACACTCCATAAAGTCAGCTGACAGAAATAAAAGCACAGACACACACACCTCATGCGGCAGATGAAAGACCGGCGGGAGCCCATGCACATCCTCATGGAGGACTGCTGTCCTTCCTTCTTCACTGTTCCAGTCTTCAGGTCCAGAATCCGCCCTGTTGACACACACGCACAGCGAATCAAATGAAAAGACCAGTAAACTCAGCTGGTTAATTCCTACAACCTGTACGGCTATGAGCAAACCTGAAGCAGGAGCACATGACCCAGATGTGTATATCGAAGATCAGTACTGGTTTTAACCTGTGGACATGTAGTGAGGCGCAGAGGGATGAGAGCACACTGTCTAACACAGCAGGAGGCCAAAATGAAGCTGGATAACACGCAATGATGAGCCGGTGTAAAAGACACTATTTCAGATGGTTAAAAGGTTCATCTCGTAGTCTTTTGCTGACATTTACAAGGTAGAAAGGTCTAGGAATCACGTACAGGGCCAGTGTCGGGGGTTATGGCCAGGACAGCAGCAGATTGTCATCGCTGTAGAGTACTGCCACATCAACGTGAATAGATCCAGAGGAATGTGAACTAGGTCATTCTACAATATGTGTGTGAGATTTGTTGTGTCCCTTATCCTATTCTAATTCCGTTTACTGACTGAGACATTCCTGAGGAGGCCCAATGAGACAGCTGATATGTGGAGCTGCCAGAAGAAACCTTCTCCTAGTCTGGAGTCTGGAGTGTTGCTCAGTGGCGAGCACGTTCTCCTTGAACCGTAGAATTGGCTCCACTAATGTCAATGTGTCCAAACACCTGTGAGAATGTTAGATCCAGATGGGCAGATGGAGGAGATGTACAAATCATTTGGCATTAAGCACAAGGTTTACAGCTCTGGAGGGGGGTGGGGAGGGGGTGCAGACACGCTCTCTCTGTGCACTGATGAGAGGGAGGGTGTTTGTGTGTGTGCAATATGCGCAGTGTGGTGGTGAGAGTGACACCATGAGAATCATTTAAAATCCCATCAATCACGTCTGCAGTGGTTTGTTTGGAGAGAGAGAAGTTGAGAAATGGAAGGCAACCCCCCCCCGCTCGGCCCTGTAACTGTTACCTGCACAATCTCTTGTCTCCATCATCCCTAGAATGGGCCTGATCCTTTCCACATGGGAAAGGAATTCTAAATATGACTGTGGTAAAAACATGACAGCACATGACATCAAAAACAACCAGCGCAAAGGACAACAAATACACACACATTCTCTGTTACTCACAGGACTCAACCTGCATAACATCGCATGCTGGGAGTATGTGGGAGAAGTGGACTCATATACTTTGACCATTTTCGCCTTGTTATTGGAAGTTCCAAATGAACCATTTCCTATATAATACTTATTATCATTACCGAGAAGTAATGTTGTTTTTACACAAAGGAATGAAGAAGCCTCACAGTGGTGTTAACATTCCAGCACTATGAAGTTCCGTGCAAAGGACGTGAGCGGTAATGAGCCAGATGTTCAGCTGGACTGGAGCCATTAATGCGTTTGGAATCTCCGACAGATGTGCGAATATATTACCTCCTCCACATCCCAGTATAATTGCATTCTAAAGCGTGGATAGAGGAAGTAGTCTTTCCTTAATTTCATTATCAGTGGAGACCAGCATTGGGTAACACACACATTTTCTTACTTTCGGTAATGAGTCGAGAATGTCATGTTTGTGTCTGTGATCCCAGTAAACGGATCACATTATTCATAGTTCTCATAATCAACTACAGACAGCAACAACTGGTGTTCTGGCTGATTCATGTTGTTCATTCCTCCACATCAGTGGGCTTCAAAAGACAACAGAGAAAATAGGAAACATACTGCTTTAGTTCCACCGACTGAAACTTAACTCTGAGAGGTGGGGGGGCCTCGAAGGCAGCGTACATGTTTGTGTGTGTGTGCATACTTGTTGTGTGTATACATATTTCTCCTGTCCTCAGTGTGTTATGTGGAGTACTGGCCCTGCAGAGGAAGATATTTAGGGGACCACGCTGCCCTCTAGTGAGCACTAGGAGCAAGTGTGTTGTTTTATCTGACAGTTATTAGAGAACGATTCAGTTTCTTCTTCATCTCCCTCTCTCTCTTTTGTACAAAACTTTGCCAACACATAATCATAATGCATCAAAATGATCGTGACTCATTAATGTGCTAAGAGTTTTTATTCAGATATTTTCCCACTTGTTTACCTGAAAATCGCTGATAACGGAATGAAATGATTTGTTTTAAACCGTACTGAACTTTTCATACTCAATGGTTTTCTTTTTGTCACTGGGGCCGTTTCAGACTTTTTAAAATAGGTTTGTATTGCACACAGAGTGCCTGAGGTCACTCTGCTGTGTGTACTAGCTTCCCTGCAAGGCAGACCTGACAAATAGGCTGACATTAAAGATTACATGCTGCTTACTTACTAATCAAAATGTTGCCGTATATATAGCATTCTGACGGCGGAATGGAGCCGCAAGAGATTTCGGTGTGAATGATCTGGTTTCCCTCGGTACAGTGGGGTCGGATGTATGCTGGAGTTCAGGGAAGTAAAGGAAGCATTGCAGCATATTTTGTTCTCTTTTGTTTGTTTGGCTCAAAACCCGCTCAGAAGCTACCTGTCCCCAACAGTGTCTTTCCTAACTGAATTGTGTTACGGAGGAGAAGCCCGGTGGTAACATCAGAAGCTGTGCAGAGTGTACTTCCTCTACCTGTCATGGAGTTTTCTGAAGTACTGAGCTGCTCCCTCAGCTTGTCCACATCGTCAGGGTGGACCTGTTCATACAGAGTGCTGCCAAACCACTCGGACTGGGGATGGTTCAGCACCGGCGCCACTGAGTCCGACACGTATATCACCCGCCCTGTCTCCGCGGCAACCACAAACAGGAAGCCGTCCGCTGCCTCCAGAATCAGATGCTTCAGTTCCTGCAGGAGGCACAACAGTACATGAGCTTACATTCATCAACACATTACCAGAGGACCAAGGACACGAGTGTGAAGGATCTGTGCCCCAAAGGGCCGAGATCGGTTTTTAGAGGTAGAGGCTAAGTTTGCAATCCTTTTATGGGAGTGCAAGTTTAAATTTCTTGGGGTTCATTGATGCCTGGGGATCCTTACTGGACCATCATTAAGTGGACACACCAGGTAAGAGCGGAATGCCAAATAACTGAGATCACTTTCTCTCCGGATGGCCCTCCAAGCTGAGCAATCCCACATTATGTTGTATACGTATATATATATATCTAGACGTGGGGGGGGTGACACTGAAGTATTGTAAACAGTACCTGCTCAGTGAGAAAGGAGGGCTTGTAGGCCCCATCAGTGGACGTGTTGCCGGTGCCCCTCATGGATTTCATATGGGAGACAGCCATACGCAGGATGGTCAGTTTGTCAGGCTTCCGGGCCAGAGCGCTGCAAGTGGGCACCATGTCTGACAGCTCGGTGATGTACTGGGTCATTTTGTTGCGCCGACGCCGTTCAATCTCACTGTGGTTCTCTCTAAAACAGAGAGAAGAGCAGTCGGACAAAAGGAAAGTGCAGACTGGAACCACTGACCAGCCCAGTAGATGCATCGGATCTTTGGCTGTGCTGTTGTTCGTCAATGTCCCTCCACCTACTGTCGGTTTTAGTGTGAAATGAAACGCTGGAGGCAGGACTTTACCACCAAGTCAAACTTTTAACAAGTGATGGTGTATTGCCTGCAGACCGCTGGAGGAGCCGTACTTGTGAGATGAAAGCCACGAGTCTCACAATGAGAAACGTGCCCTTCCTCTTTTCCAGGTGACGTGTCCAATGGCTGCCGCTGACACCGTGGGCTTTAGTGATGATCGGTGGTACACTAAAGTATTTCCTTTCTTTATTGACACACATTTAAGGAAGATGCTTATTCTTTGTTTCAGGACGGCCCCATGCACTTAGATTCAAATTCTGTTGTATTTTGATTTAGAACATGTTTACATGCTTAATGTACGTCCCATTGCACTTTTCATACCATCTGACCTTTTATTCTTCAGTCTGAGAAGTTAAGTTTCTTTAAGACTCTGTCAGAAGCAATCTCAGTCTGCTCTGACCGGCTTGTTAGAAAAACATGGAGGATGTTTGCAAAGGGAGGGCTAGTCCCAAAGTGCACCCTAAGACCTTAAAACCTAGTCTTAAAAGCCCAAGGACTGACTGGGAAAATGTGAGGGCTTGGAATGCTGTAAATACTTAGTTTACTGTATTTCATATTATCATGACAACGTCAAAAATATGATGTACAATTGTGGGTATTTATTCTGTACTTCCTACTCCCTAATTTAAACATCTTCCAAGCTGTCCTCACTAGATGAGACGTGATTGTTGAATGTTAAATTATTTATTTACTTGTTTGAAGACAGCTTCAATGATAAATATCATGTTTTTATTTTGTTCCATCTTCAATCCTTAATACAGCTTTTTTTTAACCTTTTTTTAACGTCTCCCTCTATCCACTGATTGTGAACGTCACATTGCAATGAATTGTGGGTAATTCCAATGGGCAAAGTCTGCATCTAATGCTGATTTATGGAAATATTTCATAAAGTGCTCAAAATGTCCCCCGGACAGCCCTCAAACTCAACGATTCCAGTGCCTCGAGTTGGGTGAGGCTGGAGGCCGGGATGGGACCGGGTTCTTTGACGCTTGTTGGGACGGTCCAGGAGACATTTGATACAAACCAACTGTGCTGTGCCTGGTTTGAGAAGTGGGCCGTTCCTGTAAGACGGCCATCTGATTGGACAGAAAGAGCTTCATTTCTGTGATATCCTGTTTTATGCTATGAGGGGTCCTTTCTGCACACCTGTTGAGTGGAGGACTCCTCAGACATAGTGGGACGCTTTGTGTAGCCAGACATGTGCTATGCAACATACCGACAATTAAAAAGGACCAATCATTTTTTCTAATAAACAAATATTGACTCATTTTGGCACCAGCTGCTAGTATTCCCGGTCCTTGGTCAGAGCAGGTGTGTAGTGCTCAGGCTGTAGTTTGTGGAGCCGGTGGTCTCAGCTGGCTAGGCCTACCTGGTGAATCTCTCCTTAACCCCACCAGGATCATCATCATAATCATACCTACAGAGAAGAGGGGCACAGCATGTAATACAACGTATACATACAGGTGAAACAGCTTCATGTAGCACCTTCACATCCAATAATATTAATACATGAGAGTAGATGTTCAAAGACTGATGGGAAGAACATGGCAAACTGAACCAAACATAGTACTGTAACAGCTGCTTTCTGTCCTTCTCCTTTGGGGAAATAGGTGGAGACAAGACTATAGAAGCAAAGAAAAAGCAGTAGAGATTTGAGACTCATAATAACTGGAATAACTCATTGTAAAATAGTTCTGTGTGGATTTGGGTACGGGTTCTATACTGTAAATACTAGCATTTGTGAAACTTATTAGTAACAAGTAAGCATTACTATAGAATGCAAATAAGACCAATGGGGTAAGAAAAGCTCTATTTTGAGTTAATCTCTATTCAAGTACAGAGACACTAGCTGAGGAAGGATGTCAAAGACAAATCACCCTAAATGAATGCATGAACTCCACCTAAGCTAGAATGTGGGAAGACCCAGTTCCTGTCCACACTGTCCTGCGTCAGCTGCTTTCATTCTGTAGCCTAAACAGCCCAAAGACACTGTAGATAGATCAGCTCGTCCTCCTCGTCTCTGTGCATCACTGTGAGTCGCACACTGACAAGCAGTGAGATAACAACCAGCTAATAATGTGTTCATGCAGAGAGGAAAAACCTTTACACTGACAATGAGTTTTCTTGTAGCCCAATAAATCATACATGGAATTGTAGTCCATTATCAAGTGCAGTCCCTAATATGCCCCACAGAGGGCAGTGCCCCCTCCTCACTGACCCCACTCAACCTAGCAGAAAGAAATCCACTTACTTTCATGTACAACCTACATACTTACACTCTACACAACAGGTGAGGACAGAATAGCAAAATAAATGAAATGTGAGGACGCTTGAGATGACAAAGAAACAGTTGAGTCCCTCTTAAAAAGACAAAGACATGAGAGAGCACAACATGTTTAATGGAAATCATGAGGTGTCACAGTACACACGAGAGGGTAACTGCAGGGTTCTTTAACACCTTCCATTACTTCCACCTGACATTAGGCTGAGATTTATCTAAATCAAAAGAAGACTGATGTTCCAGTTTGGTTACTTGATCCATAATTTACCCCACCTGCAGATACCCTGAAACAGGAACTGGTTCTCACACATCCAGACAAGAAGTCCTGCTTTACACAAGCTCACCTGGAAAATTTGCTGGGTCCCTCTCCATCTTCGTCATCAAAGTCCATTCTGGGAAACAACCACAGGACAACACAGGACAAGAAACAACCTTGTTACTACTTGCAGTAAGTATATCAGTCCTGGCAACTTTCTAATATAGATTATGTGCATCCACAGAGATGAGACGTCAGTGACAAGTAACAAGTTCTGTGTGCTGATCAAATACCAATATCGAGTCAGTTCCTTCCACTGTGATTCGTAATGGTGACAGTTTGTACCAGTCATGTGTGACAGAAGTTACAGAGGAGACATTCCTGTATGTGAGAAAAACCTCTCAGGCACAGGAATGAATATGAGGTAATGCGATAAGGAAGGAACGTTTGGATACAAGAACAGATGTTCAAAGAGCATCTCAGTGAAACAACAGGATCTGTGAGTCTGGTATGAAAACGTCACAGCACAACCTGACGCCTGCTCGGACTGCAAACTTCTAATGCCTTCAACGGCTCTCGAACGTCAATGCTCATAGCTAATGCTGCTAACTGGTGCTTGCATGAGGATGCTGGAACACTGGCAGTGAGCTCACATGCACCAACATCTATCAGATCACAGCACACAGAGGCACAGACTCTTCACAGTCCCTGTTTGCTGTATGTTTATCTCCTCTAACATGACTTCATGGACATTCCCACGAGCCAATGTAAACAATGAGAGTATTGATCAAGGAGGCTCTCAACATTTAAGCACATCCTCTCCATCTATGAGACTATGGAGCACAGTTCTTCTTTTCCAGAGGTTTCCCTCTTATGGAACCAACACAGATGGAGTCGTGGACAGTTTAATCTGTCAGCAGGTCAGCCAGGTGTGCTGCAGCTACGGAAAACACACAACCACACACACACACACACACACTGCGTATGTCAGCAGCACTGTCTTTATGAGGGAACAATGGAGAAGATTATTGTCTCACACACACATACACAGCTTCATACATAAATCAACAATGACCGAGCCATGAGGAGTCTCTGTGCCATGCTTATTATTTATTCATGTGTGTGTAGTCCTGATGCCTGTGCACGAGTTAAATGCATCGCTTTGGCCCCTGAGGATTAGATTCACAAGGCACTGAACCAGAAAATGCAATTCACATGTCAAATGAGGTTTCATTCATTACGGTTTGAGATTATTTTCCTGACATTCCCGGTGAAACACTTCTTCTTTTTCTGTGGGCAGAAATACATTTGGTTGGCAGCATCATTTGATCCCTTAACATCCCACCGATTTGATCCCTAACTAAAAGCTGTTGAAGCGTGTGGCATAACAAAAGTGTCAGAGTTAAAAAAAGAGTTAGAACCACTAGTTAGATGTTACACATAATGTTGATTTGTAAATCATCAGCCGACTAATTGGCAATGAGTTTAATGGGTGATATTGTGTTTATTATTGAACAGAAATGCTTATCCATGTCTTTCATCTACAGAGTTTTAGACATTAAGTTCAATAGATCTAACAATGAATCAATACATTAGTTATTGATATTTCTGTGATTTCTCTATTTTTGTGTTTGACTAAAATATTCTGAAAATGAAAGAATCTGTGGTTATAAAATGCACGTCTGACCGGCTGCTACCTTATGAGCCAGCCCGACCCCCACAGGTCATCTGTGGAGACCAAACATGGAGAAGCAGCATCGGTTCTTCAGAAAGCTGCAGGTCTGCTGAGATTAAGACTGAAGCCTTTTCTGTTTGCTGCTGCCTTTGAGTGACAATCTACTGTGTATACAAGTGAAGTACAAATGTTGTGTCTGAACCAGTAACATGAACCAATCAACAATGCCCCTCCATACCCATCCATGATGTTTCAGCTGTACAAAGGGGTTAGTTACGATTTAATATCATTTTCATGATCCTTCTCAATCTCAAGGTGCCATTTTGTCTCCTAGTACCACGCCTGAAAAAAGCATTGAACTGTAACGTAACTCATTAAACAAACCAGCACTACCTGGTTAATAAATAACGTGCACCCCAATGCTCGTTTTCTAACACAGCTGCTAGAAAATCAGCAACAAGGAGCGTTTGGGAAAGCCAGGTTAGTTGTGGCAGCTGGATTCTTGATGCCATGTCCAGCAGCACTATAACTATGTGGCTAGTATGTGACATGTGTCTCAGCTGTAGAAATGTTTTGTATCTGTAGTGGCGGCTTTCCACAGCACGTCAGCGGGGAAGATACTCACCCTGCAGATCTCCTCTTTCCCCCGCGGCCTGGCACCGCTCCTCCCATCCTCACCTGACCGCCTCCTACCGCCCCCGGCATCGCCACTGTGCCTGGTAACTCACTGCCCATCTCTGCAGGACACAACAACACAGGGGTTAGCAAAGGCCTCCGTCACACAGCGCCACCATTACACATCTCCTTCTAAGACAGTGAACCCTGGGATGTGATACCGCTCAGACCCCTTATGATGGAACCCCAAGGACCAGGCTGGATGGCCAGTGGCCCTCAATGAAGAGCATGATCATCCATTTGTGTTTCACTTACTATATACATTGTTTTATATGTTGAATATTTGTGAAGGGGGACCCTGGTACTCAATATGTTCCAGCTCATTAATCACTAATAGTCATGGGGATCGTTGATATGTCTGCCTTGACATAGGCACTGTGTATTGTTGTAACAGGTAGCGTTTCAACCACTAAAGGGACTGAGAATTGAGAATAAAACGATCAACAACATTAAAACACTTAATTGAATATTGACAATTGTTTAGATGACATGAGTTGTCTCAACTAATGCAGATGTTTCTGCCACAGTAAAGTCATTTTATTTTATTAAATGAACAACAGTTGCAAGTAGAAAAGGTGTTTCAAAAGATAATTTTGATTCACTGTTTCAGCACGTATCAGAACATTTTAAATACTAATGCAAAAAATCAAAAAATCAAAATAAAATGGCTTGTACCAACAGAACCCAAAACTCAGAAACACAAGCTGGATATGTTCATCTGTGAGGCGAGAAGCAGCTCATCTGGGTTTTTTGAAGAATTATAACTTCATGCGGTGAAATACAAGCTGGCTGTTCCATGAGCAGCAGAGATGAATTCCGCTGCACTAAAGTCCAGCCTCCATCCTTCTCTCTTCCTTCTCAAATGCCTTGTTGTCCTCCTTGCTCACACAGCCATGCTGCTTTCCTCTCGCCACACTCACTCATTTGGTCAGATGCAATGGAGAGGCCTTAGGGCGCCCAGTAACAGAGTTAATGTAATGGACGTCTTCCCACAGAAGCACAAGTGCCGTCCATCAGTCATTCATCAAGTGTGTTTGAGTTAACTGATGAGGAGGCAGCTCCTTCATCAGACCGTTCAGAAACACCACCACCTGTCTCCTAGCTGTCCAAACAGGTGTGTGTGTGTGCACATGTGCCAGCGAGATACTACCATTCAGGTTTCTGCTCTATTCTTAAATCATGAAGCGCTGTTTTTTGACTCACTTATTCATTTTCTTCTCTAATGGAGCTTAAGCGGTAGTTTTGGAAGGAAGACTCCCTTTATGCCACGCGTAATTTAGATATGCCTCAGCTGGTCTCCCAGAATGATCAATCAGCGGAGATTGACTGCGCCCAGGTGTTTGCGACCAACAGAAGCGGCGCTGTGCCTCTAAAACAATTATGTAGTTGCTGTCAGGTGTCATTTCAGTGTGAAACCGGATGCGACCCTCCTCCTCCCCAGGCACCTCCAGCAGCTATCAGGCATTCTTCACTCATCACTCACTCACTCATCCATGCCGGTTTTCATCAACTCCCTTCTTCACCACCACCACCAGTGTCTGGACTCCAGAGGGGGATTCTGCCGAGCAGAAGTCTGCATCACGGCCCCTTGATTATCCCGGTTTGTGATGGAGTCCAATGGCCAAAGATTGTGCACTATTCCAATATTATACATGTGTAATAAATGTTTGTCAATTCGGACAGTCTCTCCTGATTGAATTGGATAAGGAATCATTCGGGCGCTCTGGTTTCTCTCTACTGGCCAATCCTTTTGTCATTTTATGTTGTGGTATATTGTGCGTGTTCTGTTGGTTTACTGTTGGGTGATGCAAGCGTGTCTACATACAGATGCAGCGAGGAGCTTTTGACCCCTGGGAAAATAGGGATTGAAGCACAATATCAGAGTGTGTGCTTTTGGACTGAGGAGTGAAACGGTGCCATACACTGTGTGTTTGTGTTAAGTAATACATGTACAGAAAAGGGTATTTGCTATGCATCTGTACGGCACGCAGAGACACCAGCATGACCATGTGGTCACTTTCCAACGCCAGGCTGAAACGGACAAATTCAGATTCTACCATCGTCGTTAACATCAAGTCTGTTTATATCAAGTGTGTTCACGGAACCAGAACTACTGCTCAGGATGAAGTTAATACCCATATATAAAATAAAAAGGCCACTTGGGTCCCGTCTAAAGGCTGGCACATGCTTCTACGTCTGCGTCTTTATGCACCGTTGTTCCGACGCACTCGTTTCAATTCATGGTTGTAAAAGTCTTGCGTGTGTTGCAGAGCGATTCACCTCCAGAACAACAGATGGAGTCACGTGTTTTGTTGAAGGCGACCTAGAGAGTCCCGTCTTTGTGTGTGGAAGTCGTTGGTTTGTTTATTTATTTATCATAAGACTTTATTGCCCCGTGCATCGCCACTGCTGCTTTTCATCGCGGACACATTTGTCCCGTAACTTCCTCCACAACTTTGTTCCCCTCGACCAGCAAACCTGCGTTTGTGGAGATCTCCCTCCACGAATCAGAGGCCATCCGCGCGTCCTCATAGTCCGCCAATGACGGCTTGTGTAAGCGCTCATATTTACGCATTTCTTCAGACAAAAGCTCTTCGATCTGATCCGTTCTCTCGTAAACATTCTTCGTTTTAATAATGGCGGCATTGTGCGATGAAAACGGAAATGTGAGACTCCGTAAAGGACGTAGTTAGCAGACCAATCGCAGCCTTGTGCGCTGCGGGAGGCTTGTGTCGCTTTCAACGCAAGCCTAGAAAAATGGGTCGACGCATGCAAGGTGGTGTGAAAAGGCACGCAAGGGACACGCAAGGGGCTCTTGCGGCTGCGTTTCCTTGCGTCGCTCGGAAAACGCAGAAGCATCAACTAGGCTTTAATCGACTAGAATTTGAACGTTTTAAAAAGTCAATGACAACACTCTCATTGATATCACTATCACCAAAAGGAACTACCATTGATGTTCAGCAGTTTGTATTCTGTCTGTTCACAGATTTGGTCTCTGCTGTGATTGACTGGCGACCAGTCCAGGTTGTACCCTGTCTATCGCCTGAAGTTGGTTGGGACAGACTCCAGCCCCCGCGCGACCCTGTTTGCAGGATAAGCGGTGTGCAGATGGATGGATGGATGTAGCGTGCTAGCGATACATCTATTTTCTTACTTTGAGGACCACCATGTTTTTATATGAAACTCTGAACAAGCTGTTGTACAAGACATATGTCGAGATATTGCATGTCCAACGATAAGAACCCAGACATGTTACTCAGTACATAGGTGACCCTTTCTGTGTTCCTTGGAATGCACGGCCAGCGTCTTTAGGCGCCATCACATGTTCACACGCCCTAAGGGGAAATGCATTAATGAGTAACGGAGGAACCTACCTTCTCCTTATGAATTATTCCTATTGCTCTGACAAGGTTGTTTCTATCCTCGCTCTCTTGTCTGTTATCCTGTCTTCATTCCACATGTCTTTTCCCAACCCAACAGGTCTGTCAAACCGCCTCGACACATTTACCGTTTAAAATGGACTCCATAATCAGAAAACACACACATTTATTTAAAGTACTAAAAAAACACAACTATTAGAGTTGTCAAGACAAGACCTGGTACTTCACTTGTAGTCCATGCCAGAGGTCCAACATGGGACAGGACTCTTCAGTGGCGCAGGGATAATCGACCCGGTGTTGGGCAAAGGAAGGTAATAACTTTATCAAAGTTGTTAAATATAATTTACAACTAAAATGTGGTTTAAAAATGTAACCAGAACATTTACTTATTTTTGTCACCTTCCGATTCCTCTTTTCTCTCTCTCTCTCTCTCTCTCTCTCTCTCTCTCTCTCTCTCTCTCTCTCTCTCTCTCTCTCTCTCTCTCTCCCTGTCTAACAGACACACGCCATCTCCTCCAGCTCCTGACATAAAGTCAGCGGATGGTGGCCGGTGCTGATTGGCTGTCACAGCGGTGGGTGTGACTCTCTGACCCCTGCATCACTAATGAGCTCAGTATCAGAGGAGCAACACTGCATTCTTAATCACAGATAGAAATCGTGTGTCTGTACAAAATAGGAGAAGCTTCCAGCTTCATTCATAACATTACATTTGAAATTCTAAACCAACTGTAGATGCAGCACTTTTTCTTTTTTTGGCCTGTCAGGTTTGAAGCCGTTATTTCTGCACATCTGCAGATAAAGATCCTTATTATAATTTTCTAATTGTAGACTTAGATTCCAGAGTCGTTAACGGCTGATAGTGTTGAGTTGTATAATTTGGATATCATAATAGAAAAAGGTTATTGGTGAGATATGACGTGTATACTGTTTAGTAGCTTGGTGTAAGTTGACCTGAAGTCTAAGTTGTTTAGTCCAGAAGTTTTTATCAATCTTATCTTCAATCCACATATCCAATATGAAGACATTACTTAATGCATTGTGGTTGATGCTTAGTTCCCGGGGTGTAACATTACTTGAATTGAAGTGTTGTACGTCGTTCACTTTCTATGTGACCCTGATATGGATTAAGGGTATTAGTATTAGCAGATACATTTACAAGAAATTACTCAACTCGTTGACAATGCAGGACACTTACACTGCAATAAAACACCTTTTTCTATTGGGATCAGCATTATCCTCTCTAACATCCCTCATCAGATCATCTCACCTGTCATGTTTCAAACGCTCTTACACCAATTGGATCTGGGCGATGGCCAGCTGGAGATAATCCTGCAGTGACACAGCCTTCCCACATTACCGAACATCTGATCTGAGGTCAACCCACCTGGACGCAGAGCCACGCCGTGAGAAATAGTAAGGCTGATCACAGATCAGCGCTTTGCAGCAGCATTGAGCATGGCTTAACTCAAACTGGGTTTCATCCATGGATGGGGAGCTTCACCAAGCTCTCACTGCACGCATCACACTCAGACATCTGACTGGATAGTTACATTGCAACAAACATAGGGCTAAAGGGGGGGGCTAATGGTAAAAGCAGTAGTCTGGCCCCTGGATGCGAGGGTTTTGTGCTGCTTCCATCCACAGATGTACTCTCATCTACAATGGCCAACACAAGAGAAAGAGGGATCACTGCCCGTCTTCTATCTGACAGGGTGGTGTTCTCATCTGTACATTGTCATTCTAACAACACCTCATCTCTGCACTCTGTATGCAGCCACGGTGCCGTTAACCAGACAATTCTTTATTTATATTCCTTTTCCATTTCCATTGCCAATGAGATGGCACAGAGCGCATGACATGTTTTCATATGGAGGTGTGAGTGGCTCAGAGACTCCATCCTCTCCACAAGAGGATTAGGACAGATCCTTTCTTTCTTGTAACTAGACAGTTATTGAATCCTATCTGGAGAAGCAGAAATCACTTAGATCCCGATGCAAAGAACGTTAAGGGAAACCCAGAGATGCGCGGTGGCTCATTTAGTACAGTGACTTAATTCGACTGGGATCGAGCACAGGACACTTAGCTCAGGTCCCAGTCAGAAGAATACCTTAAGGAACGCTGGCTTGTTCAACATAATCTACCGTCTATCCTAAAGTGCCATTCAAATACGATTCTCTCAGATTGAACAGAGACTGCAGCTTTTCTCTGCAGAATCTTCAAGAACATTCATAGCAGCAAACCCAGTGTGAGAGCACAGGGAGAACCTCGGGCCGGACTCTATTTGAACATGTACATGTTTTCATTTCTCAGTTGATCCACAAACGTACAAGACACGCGAGCCTCCGTGCGGTTTCCATCCGCCCGCTACTCGGTGTCCGGTGTCCGCAGATTGCTTTCCGAGAGGCGGCAGCAGCTTTGAGCAACATACGCCACGCAGAATAGAATACGCCCGTTTTACGTGGTCCCGTTTTAAAACAACTTACGGTTTAGCACCTGGCTGCGTCTAAGACACATTTGTGTGCAGAAATGAATCAACAGGCGAGGACCAGACCAAGCAGCCGCGTTAAAATGTCCCCGGTGGAGAAGATGAAGGACACAAATCAAACAACCGTTGTATCGCACCGAGGGGAGCACACGGCGTTACACCCAGAAAACACGCAGCGAAACGCAACACAACAATGTGCGGTCAAATGATATCGCGACACAATAACGAGTCCTTCCAGCGTGTCGGTGAGGTTGCGTGCGGCGGGTCGGTGGGGGAAGGGGATGGATGCTGGATCCAGGCTCCGGCGGCCTGTCGGCGCTTCAGCCCCGTTCAGCAGCGCTGGAGAGACGGAGCTTCTCTTTCTGTTCTCCGCTATATCCGCAAACACCCCCTCTCCCCCCGACCCACCTGGGACGGACTTACCGGACGGGTTGACCGCGGCGGGAGCTGCCATGTTTCCTCAATGGAGAAAAATAACAAAACGGCAGCGATGGAGATGACGCACAATACGGCTGGAGTGTCCCCGCGAGAGGCCGTCGAAACTCCGCGGAATGTGGCACGCGAGGCTCGGCCCAACAGCCCCACACGGGTCGACGCGGAGGAGAACTAGTCTGCGTTCAGCCGACTAAAACGCCCGTTTCTGTGCTAGTGTGGTCGGGAGAGACTGAGGGGAGAGTATCTGCATGGAAAATGTCTCCAAGACCAGATTTAGTGAAATGCAAGATGTCTGAGTGGAAGCACCGCGAGATTTTAGGGCCGCTTGAATACATTAATGCAGCGCAGCGCGGCTGGTGCGCGGTTTAAACGTCCAGTGCTCGGCGGGGGCTGAAGGTGTTTTTGTCCCCGGGGTTGTTTCACGTGTAGATGCTCTGCTGACCGAGATGTTCACACACGTCGGCCTACTGCTTCCAAGTCATCTCATGTGCGGGATTTACGCGTCTAATAGACTTTAACAAACTAGTGGAAAGTCATTTAGTAGAAATATATTATTTAGCGTAAACTATAGTACTTCTATTTTAGCCTGTCTACATCACATTTTGAATAATAACGTTGAGATGAGACTTAATATCATTTCACTGCTTTGCGCTATACTTTTGGGTGGAAATTGGATTCAGGAAGCAGTTCATGTTTTGAATGTAAAATCAGTAACTACCACTACCAGTAGAATATATCCATCAGAAAAAGTGTGCCAGCACAGAATTATCATCATCATCAAGTTGAAAGCTGGAAAATAAATATATTGTATTACACTCACCATTCACAAGCATACTTTATTAGACACATTCACAGCACTGGGATCTATTAATTGGCGACACTCATTTAACATTGCTTTAGAATGAGGCAAACCTTTGGGTTTAGCTTGGTAATATTGTAGGTATTAATCATGGTGGTCCATAAATGCTTGTGGCCTTCACACTTCATTTTAAACCATAACATTATATTGTAACAATCTTTAAGTATACATAATATGCAACTACTAAATACATCCTATATTGGGTCACAGTTTATGTTTTACACTCACTGTAGCATACAAGCTGAATAATCCCTGAAACAGCTGACCACTTTATAAGACATTTCACACAAACAGTGCATCAGTTTGGCGATATTTCCAGCAGCAGAAGTCTTCACATTGGGTGTTCTATGAGCATGTATGTGAGCGAGACAGCGTACATGGGATCAAACCATTAGTGACATGGTGATGAAGGGACATGTCCCAATGCAACAGTGTGGCTTACTGCTGTGTCTTTGACCGTTTGTGGACAACAATGGAGCACCGTGATACAGAAGAAGAAGAGACATCCAACGTTGATACATGTGCACACACACAGACACACACAAACTTCACAGTAGATACATTCACTGTTGCTTTTGGTCTTCTCCTTTGATTTATCAAATATCACATCTCCGTCCCGCTGCTGCTTAAAAGGATGTTTCAAGCAAGTCCCAGCTGTGCCATTTCAGTGCCTCTGAACCGCTCCGTCACTTCTCTCCTCTGCAGCTGAGCACCACCCATGCAGCATCTTTCTTGTGAACACACACACACACACCAGCAGCTGCACATGCAGCTCCCTCTCCACCTCTGTCGTAAACTCCGTCTCCACTTTTGTCTCAACATTTCTCTCCACCTCCACCACCACCTCCCATTTCATCTCCTTCTCTATCTCCCCCTCCATCTCCACCCTAGGGACGAGAAGAAAATAACAAACAATTTGTTTATTTAGATGCAATAAAGTGTCATTGAACCATTTAATGTTATTAAAGACAATATTGGGATACAGACGTGTGCTGCCTGAATGTTCTATCTTGTGAATGGAAGGTAGTTCTCTTCTTCATTAAGAAGATATGAAGTTTGAGTCAGTGACGATGACAAATTCTCATTTGTTAATAAGCCAATTATCAGACATGATCATCATCAGAATGAGAAGCACCAAAAGTAGGTGTTGATTCCAGGGGTGGCTGGTAGCTGAGACCTTAAAATACATTTATCCAATCAGACATGTGGGGGCATAACATTACATGTCATTTAGCAGATGCTTTTATCCAAAAAGACTTACATTACACTTTAAACCCATGGCTTTTTCACAGTTTTGCTTGGGGAGCAATTAGGGGCTAGGTGTCTTGCTCAGGGACACTTCGACATGGAATATGGGGCAGCCTGGACTCAAACCACCAACCTTGTGCTTCCCAGCACACCTTCTCTAACCCCTGCGCCACAACAAACCCATATGAGCTGCAGACCCCCCTGCAGGTTCATTATCTACTCTGACTGCTGGACTGAGGTACTGTAGCCTTCTTATACAAATCACTGGGCCCATTTTGTCATTTTTGTCCCCTGCTCCCAGTTCAACCGTGTTCAACACCCAGAAGAAAAGAAAGAGGGGGTGTGAAAGGCCAACCTTGACGACCCCTGGAGTGCAAAGCAAACACTGTGAGGGCAGGAGAGGGGAGAGAGGGGCTTTTCTCTCCTCCCATCTGGTTCTGCTGAGCACAATAGCGAATCAATTAATGTGGCAAAGACGGCAGATGTTGCTCTGTCTGTCAACACATGCCTTCTACTTTCTTATCCACATTTAAACTTGTCCAACCATACTGGTATCTGTAATTTAGACACAGGATTGATTAATTTCTCTTACTGTAAAATCACAGTAATGCTCTGATGATCTGATGGAGCAACTTCTACGTGGATATGTTCTTTTAAATAGTTTTCTTGATGTCTAGTATATTTACACTGTTATAAGGAAGGCAGGATGCTTATTTCAGCCTTTTCGTGATTGTTTAAACATAAAATGAAAAGTTGGCACTTTTAACTTTCTTTCTTTCTGTCTTTATGCTTTCTTAGGTTCAACCATGTCCTGACTCCAGCTCTGTTCCAAACCCACATACACAGGATGGAGAGAAAGTCAATAAACGTATTTCCCAAAATGTTAAGCAAAATGACTGAGTGTATTGATGGAGGACGGAGATTTACGTACTACTGTGCTGAGGAAGCAAGCCCCTTTCTGGCCTATTCATGTTTTCCTTCATCAGGCAACACTGCCTACATGACCAAACAACACATTAACAATAGATTAAATTGGTTAACCTACTCCAGTTTACCAAGAGACAGAACTGTTATCTCTGCCAGACATGCCACAGTACACGTAGGAATACAATATTTTTTATGTTACTTTTAAATAGTACAAAGGAAGGCTGAAATAAATCATATATTTAAGGCTCTCCATTTTCTTACCCCATCTCCCGTGAAACCATTTTTAAGTTGTAACCACAGCCCAGGAGCATAAATGATGAATGAGAACTATGATCTGCATCCACAGTTGATGGAGTGCAAAAAAAGCAAATGGAACAAAGCTTTTTTCTGCCTGATCCCTCAAAAAAAACAGAAAGCTCCAGCTTCTGAGTGCAAACTACAATTGGAAATAAGGCTGTGCAACAGTGTCACAGCCTGATTAGAGAATCAACCGCTTGTTAATAATTGGCCATCTTTTTGCTGGCCGATCATTTACCATCACAGTGGCAGGAGAGCTGCAGAACCTTCCATTTCCTTTTTCACTATGTCAATGGATAGAGTTTTTCTTTTTTTTAAACTGATGGTTTGTTCGGATGTAAATTGCTCCAAAAAGGTGTCAATATAAAGATTCCCAATTCTCCGCTTATACCTCTGCTAGCATGTTGGGGACTGAATTAATATGCAGGGGTTCTGACCATATTTAGCTCTCAGGTCGTATTCTGTGCCTTTATTTTGGATTGAGTGGATGCATCTGCTCAAAAGATTTGTTCTTTGTCTCGGGATGGAGCTTCATTTGATGCTTTACATAATGAATCACGGTCACTGGACATATGAGAGCCAGGTTTAAACTGCTGTGGGAGGAGTTAACATTCAAAAGTCTGTCCATTACTGGTTATAGGCCCTGAGTTAAATTGTCCAGTGACAACAACACTGTGTCTGCTGTGGAGACCTTCAGGTTTCTGGAATCCACATTTTCCCCGGGACCTGAAGTGGGCCTCCAACTTCACCACCATCAGTTCATCCTCCCTCAGTAGCTTCTGGTGCTGTCCAACTCCCCCATCATGCAGTGTTTTCCATGTTCTTTTATCACGGTGTGGTTTGGACCGGACACTAAACAGGACAGGAACAGCCTGCAGCAGATCAAGAGGTCTCCAGAGAGAATCATTGGCTCCAGCTGGCCCTTTCATCGATCTGCACTTTCACATAAATTCACAACATTTTGCATATGTTAAATAGGTTTAATAGGTTTATATATATATATTTTTTTTGTCTGTAGCAGTAGGTATCTGATTCAATAATATAAAACAATTTGTCATTTAAGCTCAAATCAGATGCAACCCTCCTCCCCAGTCAGCATCCTTCATCATTGGTAGTCATGCTCCTTAATCACCAGAACCTTTTGGTTTGGTCTTTATGATGGAGTCCAGTTTTTGCCAAGTTGCACGATTTATATTTAATAAATCATTGTTCAATTCCAATGAAATCCCTCCCAATTCAAATTCTTCTACAATATCCCGCTTTCTTTAATGTATATTTCTAGTATTGAATCAGTTGTTTGTCTTCAATCTTTGCCGGCAGAACCTTGCACCAGGACAATCCGGGTAGCAACATTTGTGAGCTGCCTGTCAAAGCGGGCATCGAGCTCTTCCGCTAGGGAAGCGTCTGCACTCACTAATCCTGGAGAAGATTGTTCTGAGCCTTCGTAAGGGGCTCATAGTGATCTAAGTATTTAGATTGCGATTCATTTCATTTAACCACAGACTTATAGGAGGGAAAACAAAAGACACAGTGAGATCCAAAATGGATGATTTTATTACAAATCCTGATGTAGCAGTAACACTGTGATGTGATCTACTAGATGCACGTTTTAGAGGATTTTTATAAAAAGGTTAGTAGAGAAATGCAACTCTAAAAAGACAAATAAAGTCAACTGACTCTGAGAAAAACTCATCAATTACAGATGAAAACACACAATTTAAGAGAAAGATGTGTGTTTGTAACAGGGCACATATGAGTTTCTAAACACCGTTTTTGCTTGTAGTATCATTCATGGAATATTGAATGACAGGGTGAGACACTTTGGGTGTGTAAGCTTGTGTCTTCAAGTATACAGTATATGTTCCACAGAAGGACGCTCACTTAAACAACAAGACGTGTTTCAATGTTGCAAGGCAGGAAGAATGGTTCCCATGCAAGGTCCGAATCCAACTCTGTATCCATCTCCTTGAGAGAAACCTGGACAGAAAAAAAAGACGGCAGATGTGGTAATGGACATGATTATATGTCTAACGACATAGAATGAATATATTTTTGTTGTCAAATATTTTGTCTAACTTGTTTATTGTTAATATTCATACTTTAAAGAGAAGAAAAGAAGTTTGCCTAAAAGCTTTCTGCCAGAAATGTCCTTTTGCAACAAGGTTTAGGAAGGTTTGGTTAGAAATGAAAACCTTTCTTGCAGAAAGCCCTGAGTGCATCTTCTCCTCTTTGCTTATGTGGCAGCTGCGCTTAAGGTTAAGTCCAACCTGTGATGGTAACTTCATCTCCATCCATCAGGAACGTTCTGGTTTCTCCTCCTCCCAGATTAATGTTCTTAGATCCCCTCCATGACAGCTCCAGCATGGATCCAAAACTCTCTGAATCCTACAAACAGAAACATTGTACAACGCAAATATACTGCACAGGTAAGACACAAGACATAAGGTAATTGATTACAGCATATTTTTAATATTTACCTGGTGAAAAAGCAGCTAAATATTGTTTTGTGTCACCAGGTCATATCCATCAATTTAATTCTAAAAGTTAGTCCTGGGATTTGCACCATGCAAGTTCTCCATCAGAGGGCGACAACTTCACTGACACAGTAACTAAACTAACTGACAACAGGGAGTAACCCAAACACATGAGGTCTCCCCAGGGAAGACCCAGAGGCTGCCGGGTGTCCAGCCTGACGCTACTCGATGTAAAACAGGCTAAACATCAACATTTTCAGATGCAAGTGGGAGTGTGCGCACCTGTCTGTGCGCCCATTGGGGCGTAATGTTTCACCAACTCACATACGTCGTCCTTATGCGCACCTTTAGATTTATCCAGAGGTTTACACTGAGGTTTAAGCACCCTTTGCTACACGTGGTGACCAGTATGAACGCGGCCTCCTAACCCACACCTCTGCCATTTTACATATACACACACGCAAATACACGTGAGAATACATTAAATACGTGGTCTGAGCTCGACCATCAAACAATCATTTGTTCACTCTAAATGTAATAGTGCTGACATTAATTCTATTGTTGTCAATTATTTAGTTTCATACACACAACAAAAACTCTTTACGCAAGCAAGCGACGACAAAATATAAAACCAACACTCACAGGTCCACTAATGGTTCCAGAAGCCAGCAGGTCTCCAGGTCTCATGTTGCAACCATTGACTGTGTGATGGGTGAGCTGCTGTTTCATGGTCCAGTACATATACTACAAGCAAAGGTAAGAATGTAAGAATATGAGTGAAGCGAGGGAGACTGAACAACATAATCACAGTTCACAATAAAGGTGGTGGCTTTGAGCACGGAGGGACCAGGACCAAAAAGGTAAATCAGGAGGGAAGAGACTAAGATCGATTCACTGACCGGTGATGAATTAGTTTTAAATATTGTTGTCAAACGTTGGACGGAAAAAAGGAAACCCGGACCCTTTTTCTGGAGCCACACTATGAAGGGTTTTTGCCAGCGAGCATCAGCTGGTCTACCCCTGGCACATGGGACTCGACCAGGCACTGCCGGGGGGCCACTGAAGCCACTAAAACCACCGTAGAACGGTACTATCTAGATATAGTAATGCTCACCTCCATGCATAGCACTGGTTCTGGACCAAATTGTTGTAGATGGGCTCATGTATTCTTTTCTTAATTTGCCGAGGATGAGAGATGCCCGTACGTGTGGGGACTCTCATGAGCCAAAAACTAGACATACTGGATTTATTTTCTAGACATGTGTTGGGCAAAACAAACACAATTCTTAAGGATTGGCGATTAAGACGTGTACTTGGTACCAGTACACCCTAGGCCAGAGGTGCCCACACCTTTTCTGCTCGCAAGCTACTTTTCAAGCAACCAAGTCATAGAGATCTACTAAACATTAAAAATGCTAAATATCAATAAAACTAAAAAAAGCTAAATATCCATTTATTTATGAGTTGAAATAGTTCTCAACAAGTTTGAGTCACGATCAGAAGGTTGTACCTTGCATGGTAGCTGCTGCTATTAATAAATGATTGAATTCTGTATGGTCCAATTACCATTTAGGGTTGCGTAGAAGTCGGGGACAGTGCCTGTGGAATGGCAGGCCGGTGTGGTGGTTCCCATTTTTAAAAAAGGGGGCCGGAGTGTGCACTCGAACTTCCTTTGATAATCTAAATCAACCATTTCAGCTCCATTCTGACCCTCATCTATGGTGCTGAACTTTAGTTGGTGACGGAACGAATTAGATCGCAGACACAACCAACTGGATTGAGCTTCCCCGGTAGAGTGGCTGGGCTCAGCCTGAGAGATGGGCTGAGGAGCGCAGACTTTCAGAGAGAGCTTGGAGTAGAGCCGCTGCTCCTTTTGATGTGGTTTGGCCGTCAGATCAGAATGCATTCAGACTTCGTATGTGGTCTCACCTAGGAGTGCTTTGGGACTCCCAGAAAGAGCACTGCGGAGGACAGGGGCGTCTGGAACACCGCCTGAAGCCTACTGCCTGTAGCGCTTTACAGGTTATCATAGAGGTAAACCCAAATGATGAGATGAAGAGACACTCGCCACCCTCATGGATGTAGCAAGCATTAATCATACTACAGACTTAAAGGGTGGACGTAGCCTATGGGAATAACCGGTTCAATACCAGAACCACCCTAGATGCTGCATTATTTATATTAATATATCACACTGACTCCGCACACAAGGTTGTTACCTTAAAGTTTGACTTGCAGATGGTTGCAGCCGCGGACATGTCTTGTCCTGAAAGAGCGGACAGAAAAGAGGGACAAATTGAAACATAGGTACAGTCCTTTTGACATACAGCATAGGGTGAAAGTTAACATTTATGGAAGATATTCACTACTAGCTACAATAATATTGAACAGAAACATAATGATCTAGTGATAATTAATAGGATAACCCAGAGATGCTGCTCCATAATGAGAACTTGTTGATGACACTCACTAAATTAAGGGGGTTACTGTAGTGTTTAATCATTTGTGCTATTTTTGCTTGCAGAAAAAAATCAGACTGATTGTGATCCGATCCAAGTCAAACAATGAACAGTATAAAACATGAACACGGTTGTTCTTTGAAATATAAGCCCAACAAAATAAAGTCAAGATAATATTGTACATTTTTATTACAAACCTGTTAATCTACTGAGCAACTCCCCATTCCTGCTTCCAACATTCCTCTCATTAGGTTCATGATACATATTTTTGGTGCCTGTGCGTTTGGAGGCGTGTGTGTAAAGCACAAGTGGTAAAACGTCAAGCAGCATGGACGAGAGAGAGCGAGCGTTTAATATCGCCCCATTGCCATGGATGACTTCAGGGCTCATACTACTGTGTGTGTTAGGGAAACAGTTGAGAAACAGTACCTTTAAGTGACACAAACAGATTAATGTTGAAAGTGTAAGCGTCTGGGTGCTGAAGGTAGAGGAGGGGCTCTGGGTCCTGCAGAAAGCGGAGCAACAGATACAGAATGAACAAAAAAACATACGGAGGAGGCTGTAAAAAAACACTGTCTGTGGCTTCAAAAAATGTGAAAATAGCTTTTAATTCATCACCTGTAACTGATTATGGATCACCTAAAACACATCTTCTCAGGTCTTCTCTATCATTGTCTGGTAACTTATGTCAATGCAGAATTGAATTTAATGTCTTTGAGTTGGTGATCTCTGTTGGATGCTTCTCTTTACTGTTGTAAATTGTGACCTCTGAACTAACCTGGATAGGGTTGGGCTCCGCAAAGGGCAACAGTGCCTCCATTGGGATGACCCAGGGTGAGATAGTTGTCCCAAAGTTCTTCCCCAGGAAAGGACCAAGAGGAACATACTCCCACGCCTGGATGTCCCTGGCTGGGAGTAGACAAAGCAAATACTACATAAATGTGCAGGTTCCATTTTTTTTTAGTAATTATAAACTGTCACCAAGGACAAGAAATTATTTTAATTTTTTTAAACTCCCAGGAGACCGGAACCGTGGAACCATTCTGTCAAGTAAGGTAACCTCTTTGAATCATTTTTCTCTTTTCAAATATCAAGACAAACCTAATAGCCACATTGAAAATCACCTCATCAAGATAATTCCTACCAGAGCACATCTGCAATATGATCCAACATGGCACTTTTAGTAACAAGCCTATCGCTGAACACAAACGCAACCTGAGGGGACATTCCTTGTACAGTATTTGATGCTTAAGAGTATTTTTGGGGATCTTTCCCTCGGTTGGTTCTTCTATCGTCTTTCTCATTCATTGTTGTAATGTAATGTTGTAATGTTTCTACTAAACAGTCCCCTATTGATGGCACTGAGCTTTCACTTGGTTCAAAACAGGAACTATTCTTCTTGGAGACATTACATTTAACATTTGAGAAAAACATTGCGCACCATCCAAGTCTGAGAAATGTCAGATGTTTCCAATACCAAATCACAGTATGGATATTTCTGTCTTATTGTGGTATTTTGGAGAATTACAATTCTCAAGTGGTGACCACTTATGAGACATCATCTGAATATCCATCATATGCTCCAATCATATGATGTGCTATGCCCTTATACGCAAATGGGGGGGGTTATGAACGCAGCCCCAACTAATCCCGTAATTAGTAGCCCTAAAAGCCACCTGCTGGTATGGCCTTATTCCCTTTTGGGCCTGAAATAAGTGTTTCTGAAAAGATTATTTTGTCATAGTGCCCGCATGATGGGCTGCAGCTCAGATGGTCCCGCAAAACATTAACTCAATCTGAAAGCAATCGGGGTATCAGTGAATCAGCTCATCTATCACAGTGGCAAACCTACATTGTTGGCCTATTATCCTACTTAAATAAGATTCTCTTTTGTAAACATGGTGTTGTCACACGCGGCCCCTACTGGGAGATTCATGTTGCTGCTGCTAAGGGAAAAGTTCTACTTTTAGAGTGCAAAGATGAGACAAATTGTTTCATTTAAAACAATTTAAACAATATATAATGTATCCTATGTATTGAGCATATATTCTACTGTATAACGTGCCAAAAATGTAAATCCTCTTATGTTTCGGTAAAGCAATGCTTTTTTACTGAATAGCCCTATCACATAACATGTGCGGATTGGTGTGTTCTGCAGAAAAATATTGTTCAGTCTGTGGATATATTTGTAAAGTCAGACTATGCCACCTGTCAATCACAAGTTAGTCCCTCCCTAAAGCATACCCAAATATGTGTTCTATTTCACTCTAAATGGACCTTGGTTTACAAAATGAACATCATGTTGTACTGGGGAAGACTGTAGACTAGAGATTAAGACCATACACTCATGTTTACAATATTTACTGAGGGAATAAATCAAGAGAGAAGTAGAGTAATATTCTCATAGACTTCAATAGGACCAGAGGAGTCGCCCCCTGGTGGTTAATACAGAGAATGCAGCTTTAAGACACTTCTGCATGGCTTCACTTTGAAGAACCGGAAGGAATAGCCTAAAGTACAATTCTTCTGAGGGTATAATTCCCATTTGTTGTAACCGATTTCTGATGGCAGAGGTTGATTAACGTTTTTGTCAGGCTGCAGTATAAAGTCAAGGGGAATATTTGAAAGGATGACAGTAACGGGGCAAATGCACCATGTATGTCCTCTCCAGAGATTTACAGCTGGATCAATAATGCATGAATCCACTTGTGTTTTGATGAGGACTGACTCCTCCATTTAACCTAAATCCATTTCATTGGACTGAATCTAAAGAGGCATCAACATGTATAATGCAGCGCTAAATCAAGGAACAAGTGTGCTTCTAAGTGAAATGTTGCTGCTAATAAGAACTGTGGATTTGTCATAAAACCATCAGCCTCACCCTTATAGAATCCTCTGCGAGCAGATACGGATGATGTTGGTGTTCTGTGTTGTGCAGCTGCTCTTACCACTCCAGTCATTCATGAGTACCATGCCAAAGATGTGTTCATGGGCTTTCCCAATGGGAATGGGCTCCCCGAGCTGATTCCCCCCTCCAACAAAGAAGGCCTAACCAGAGTGAAGAAGAAATATAATGGCACTGAATGTATAATATTAAACATCACACAGGCTGGTAAAAACAACAACGTTTAATTACCATCTCCAGCTCAATGTCTAACTGCTTAGACGGGCCAAACACGGGAGGTTTTGCTAACAGAAAGGGAAAAGGCAAGCAGGGTTATCATCAGCTGTAAGAGGTTCAACACTGTATTTATGTGTATATATATATATATATATATGTATAGACAGTCGGGATCTTACTCTGATCAGGTCTCATCTGGCCTGAAGGGCGGCGGATGGGGGTTCCAGAAACAACCACTGATGAGGCTCTACCATGGTATCCCACTGGAAGCCTTAACCTGCATAACAGGTCAAGACTGAACAGGGAGCACTGAAGGTACACAGGTAATTGTCGGTCTACATTGTATATGTTGATCCTCTCTCAAAAAGTAGTAATTATGTTACTATTAAAGCAGAAAAGCGTGTTTGGGGTATTGGTAAAGCCATTCAGCTCAGTTACACTATAATGACATTTATCCCATGAACATCAGTACAGCCAGGTGACCACTGGGAAGTGCAGAAATGACACAGCAATGTCTGGTTGGAGTCAAAGATAGAAGTAGTTCAATACATTTTTGTTTGTTTTGATCAGTCTCAACTGAGGATATGACTAGATAAAAAATATTACACAGATTCAGAAATATTGAATCCATCTTCAAAGAATGATCGCTAAAATGTGTCCTGAAAGCCAACATTTGACGTGGGAAGTTGCCAATCAGCCACATATGACCTTGGTATTTGTCCCGTGAGGCCCAACAACAAATGAAGGCCGTCTGTGCCGTGTTTAAATGCATATTGATGTTTTTGGGGTCAAACCAGTTAGAGAAACCTTGTACTGCCCCTACACATATCACGGTTACAGAGTGCCTGGGACAGTTGTTTGAAGTTCTCTCATCACCTGCCCCTACTCGGATCATATCAAGGCCTTTCTTTTATTCTAACCCCAGCTGTTAGTGTCTACTGTTTGTAAGCTTGGAAGGGTACCAGTTTGGCATCAGAGCATTCTCCTTCCCCCGGAACATGGTGCCGACGTTGGTGGCATGGTCTCTGGAGGAGTAGAAGTCTGTGTAATCCCCTGGGAAGAACAGATATTACAGTTTGTGAGAGAAAAAGGCTAAATTATTCACTTACCCTTCTCATATTAGTGAAGTGCAAGAAACGGACTTGGTAAGTCAGCATTAGCCTACTGGGAATTTGGTAAATTGTTTAACACTGCTCCCTGGTGCTGATGTACCTCAAATGTATTGAAGATAACTATTACTAAGATAATAAGTCTTAGTATTAACTATATTTAGTGCTCTTAATAGCATTACTTCCTAAGAGATGGAAGGTAAACCACCAATCGGAGCCAAGGAGTCCCTCACTGCAGCTCTGATTAAATATCAATGAAGAGTTGTAGGTGTACTTGCTGCCTTTTTCCTTGCATCAAATGTTTTCAGAAGCAAAGTCCTTCACAAGCTCAAGCAAACAGATTATTCAGGGTGTGTGATGGGACATCAGTAGATATAAGAGATGTTAATGGGGAGGGTATATCAGGCTCACCAATGTCTGCAGGAAGGTGCATGGTGGCTGCACTCTGATGGACAAATGCTCTAAGAGGCCATGGACAAAAAGACAAAAGTCACTGGTTAATAAGCTCTCTCAGTAAAAAAAAATCCTGCAGAAAAGGCTTGAATAGAAAAGGCTTACATTTAGGGCAGGGTATCCGCTATAATAAGGAATCCCCAGTACAATACAGTTGATTGATGGATGCTATTTAAGCTAGTAGGTGTTCGACCTCCAGACTGACCTGCTCCGAAGGCTGACATCATCCCTCAGCGTGCTCTCGTTGGCTGACAGCAACATCTGCAGGGTCCTCCTGGCCTCTGTCCAGGCCTCAAAGCCAAGAGCCATGAAAGCATTCAGTGTGGCCTTGTAGGAAGCAAACAAATAAAAAGTCAAATCAGACACAGTAAAAGAGGTCCTCACATCATGCACCTTTTTGAGAGGAACCATACCATAGTATGGCAATGATCCATTACAAGAAAAAGCTCTTTACAGTTTGATTTAAGGAGTAGAACTAAAGAGAGTACTGCTTAGGCATACCAATCTTGCAGTACATCAGATTAACTTCAAGTAGAGAGCTACACGGATTTATGGCGCCTCTGCTCTGTATTAGTGATCAATCTTACCTGCGCAAAGACATCCTGATGTTTGGACATCACGGGTCCTCGAAACAAAGACATAATCACACTGAGGTCCAAAATCTGGTCTCCAATGGCAACACCAATGCGACGTTTGGGCTGGGGAAAGAAATAACATTGACCTAATGATCAGGGAGTCACACAGGGTGAGCAGTCGGTTAGTGGGACTTGTCTTCAGAGCATTGAGCTCCATGTTGTTTTGGCTGCACCACGTCACCAAATGGTCAGATCCCCACCTGTAGGCGGACTCATCTCCACCAGAGATCAGTCCAATGAGGTGGTGTCATCCGCAAACAAAGACCACACATTTGCAGTAGATTATTTCATTATTGGATTTTAAATCCCTGCCTCACAAGGCTGACAAGGCTTTTTTCTGAATTTGCAGTTGTGCAATTTGATATTCTCCCTATAACTCCGCTGCACTCTTGTAATACTGTTCAGTCAACATACTTCCTCTCCCTCAGCCCACATCACCTCAAAGATCCACATTTATGAGAGTATTATATTTTAAAAAACAATCCTCAATGTGCTTGACACAACAACACTTTTTATTTCGCAAACCCAGTGGAAACAACCAAAGTGCACTTACATGATCAGGCGTGGAGAAGATTCCATAAGGGAGGTTGTGGAAGGAGAAATCTGAAGAAGCATCTACTTTTAGGAAGGACATCTTCTCTGGTAGTGGTATTCCTCTCAACGTTACTGAGTGTGAAGTGAGTAGTAGCAGCAAGCACTTCCAGATGTTTGACTCTGGACAGGCCTGCCTCCCACTGCACAGCCAATCACACGCTGCCTATTGTATCCACCCCTGTGCACCGCCTCCTGAGCATAATGCAAACCAGCCTGGTAAATGACTAAGCAAAACCAAGTTACTGATTAGCCTCAAGAAACCATGAGAGAAAAGCCCTGATTCTAATACGGTTAATGTAACAGCAGTATGAGGTGGGAAAAACTTTATTTATTCAAACATTCACACATTGAGGGAAGCCTCAAACTAACTTATAAACACAAAACCAAAATGTTCAAAAGCGTCATATGTAAGACATTAAATAAGTATTAAAGAAATCCATGAATCAGGCTTATGGAAAATAAATGGAGTGAATTAATTTAATGTATCTCAATCAACCTAAATTAGTTGAAACAACATATTAAGATCCCTCATTTAAAAATAGTGTGCGAGGTAACAGGATGTTTTTTTTAAGAAACGACTATGATGATAAAGGTATGAAAATATATATTTTGTTTTGTAATGTCAGTATGATCACTGGCAGTGACTCTCCAGAGGCAAAATATGTTTTTTGCATCTTTTTCAAAAGGGAAAAAAGAATAGTTTTTTTAATGATTGAAAACAAAACTCTAACCATAGTTAAAAATAGTCAAAAACTAACTACCGCAGGACATAAGGTGGGAAAGGCCTTGCCACCCCAGTGTTGGACAATCTGCCCACATATTATAAAAAGTTGTGGCTGAAATACAATGACTGTGAAGTGAATGGAGGGGTTTGTTATTCTTGTCCAGTCTCAATTATGGCTACACATAGATCATGCTGTCCTCCACCAGCTGATCCTGGCAGAACTGTATGTGAATGATATGTTGTTTAGGCAAATTCAACTCTGACAATAGATTTTGACAATCAAATCTGGATTACATACGTTTTGATATCATTATTTGGGCTATATAATTCTCCCTAGAGTTGGTTTAGGAAAGGTTTTGTGTATGTGTCATTCCATAAAGAGAGCTTGGGTCACTAATTAATATACTGATCACTGTTCATTGTATTTTTTGTTGTTGTATCATCTACTCATTTTTGAATGTTGTTTAATAATAATTACCAACTGTGACATGTTTTAAGGAAATTGTTCTTTTTGAGACTTTAACTTGAGGGTTTAACTACAGGTGCAGGCTCCCAATGTGATATAAGATATATTGATGTAAAGTTATTCATATATCAAATTACATTTTTTTTAAAACCTCGTAATACAGAGTAATACATCCGGTATATTATTCGGGGATGCTGATTGGCCACACTGGACTGTCTTCCGGCATGCAGCTTGACGTCACAGACGCGCGGCGGAGTGATACATTGACCGCAGCGTGATGACGTCTCACAGCCCCTGCTGGCACTTCGACGGTTCTCACTACCTCTCGCGTGTTCATGTTTAATCCAGCAAACAACACTGTCAGTGACGAAACCGTCTCTTCACCATTAACGTCTACCGAAATGCACTTCACAGAATGACTTGAGTCACCTCATCTTTACTTCACTTTGGCTTCAGTTTAAGTCCTCCGGCGCAATGGCCGCCCTGCTCGCCGCAAAGCAAGCCCTGAGGAAAGACTTAAAGCGAAGGGTGGCAGCGCTGAGTGCCGAGGAGAAGCAGCGTCAGTCTGCAGTCCTCTCACGGCAGGTAAGGGACAGGTGGACTGGCTCCTTTTTAAAGCTGCTTTACGAAAGTTGTATACATTAGGTCTGCTATGACCAATCGGCGTTACTCTCTTACTTAAAACACACGGCTACCTTTGCGTCTCCAGTGAAGGCGTCTTGTAAACTGCTTTGGATGTAACGTTATAACCTTTTGTATTGTCACGTGTTGTATGTTTTGCTTTCAGGGGTCCAGTTTTTCAATTTGACGTTCTGTGAATGATTTAGACTGAAGACAAAAACCAAAGCCACGTGTGATATCAGAAGTGAACAATTCGTGTGGTAGCTAACTAACGTTACAGCTGAGGTAGCAACTCTTCTATCAAGGTCGTTGTCCTGGAGGCTCCGTTAATAATTCCCAGAAATCAAAAGATTATGAGCTCCAATTACTTATTAGTTCATGTCACAGTGGCAGCTGCTAGATGTCATTCACATCTTTACCTGTACCTTATATATGTATAAGAGAGGTCTAAACTGAATAAAACATCTGGCATCTTTTATATATATATATATATATATATATATTACATATATAAAAAGAGAAATTGTTGCTTTTTCTTCTTTTACTATTCGATTTGTTGGCTTATTGTTTCAGCTCTAACATTGTGCATTCTGTAAGAATAAACTATAGTGGTATTTACAGCTTTGGAATGTATGAATTAATCATATAAGATAATAATGCATTTAAAGCCCCTGTTCCTGTGGAATGTGTCTTCATTTTGCACTTTCTTTCAGCTGTTCAGACACCCCAAGTATTTGTCCTGTAAGAGGATTGCTGTGTTTCTCAGCATGGATGATGAGGTGCGCACCGAGGATATCATCAAAGATCTGTTCAAATGGGGTAAAAGCTGCTTCATTCCAAGATATGAGCGCAGCAGCAGCCATATGGACATGTTGGAGCTCAAAAGTCTGCAGGACGTGGAGACGCTGCCTCTGACATCATGGAACATCAGGCAGCCCGCTGAAGATGACAAAAGAAGAGAGGAAGCGCTTGCTGGGGGTAAGGACACACACACACCATCTACTGTCTATATTTAATCCAGTAGCGTATAGCTGATGAACAGGTGACACAGCTTGTCTCCATCAATGTTTCCTCCCAATATATCCTCCAGCTTAAGCTATAGCGGAGTGCTGCTGGAGAGAATTGTGGAGTATGCTAACCAGTTTGTTGTTGATGGATTGGCATTGCTCATATTCTGCCTTTTGGGTCAAACCCCAAAGCTTTGAGCAGAGGCCCTTGGTGTCTAATACCTCTGGACAAGGCACGGCACGGCATGGCACAGCACTGCAGGCAAGGCATGGTAGCATCTGCTTGAGATGCAAGAGGCTTTCGACTGTGTCACATGTTAACCCGTCTTTGTCATTATTAGACATAAACAAACCAGCGTTGTCCACGCGTTAAGACATAACTGCCATTGTTTCACAGCGTTGACCACATGTTACAACTTAAACACAGCAGTTTAAAAAATGGTCAGATGAGGGGGAGGGTGTTGGTTCAGTATTGGCTTGGAAGACGCATCGTCATGCGTCTCAACCAACGATAGCATTTGTGGGCGGGACTAAGACCGCTGCAGCGAGGCACAGAAAAATGGACAAATGTAGCTAACTCTTGTGGGCATCTTCATTTAAAATCCCCTCTGGATGGAGTTGATGAACTTTTTATGAAGTTATTTGTAACCTGCATCACTGAAAGGTTGCTTTTTTTGTTTTGTTGACTGAGTCTTTACAAGAAATCCAGTACGAACATGGACTTCAAAAACTAAACTAAAACTAAGTCCATGCCTCGTAAATCCCAGCTGCTACTGAACATAGATTATTGATAGATGGATTATTGATAAAATACACTGGTTATGCTGGAAATCAGATTGATGAATGTTGACTTGCCTGTTAAAATATTGTGGTTGTGTAGAGTAACTTGTTTTTCTATAAAAATCTACATAAAACGTTATTGCCTTGCCCATGGCAAATAGCTTTGGTTTTACTTTTTTTTAAAATTTAATTAAGTTGAGATTTACAAGCCACTCTGTAAAGGGAATACACTACTTTTGTGCATTAAAATGCAATTAATCCCAGAGATTCATGCAATTAATCTCATTTAATAAATATAATCATTGCCCAGCACATATGAAAGTACAATCCCTTTTTACCTTGTACTGTATAATGAATTGAAATTGAGTTTTGTTGCTACCGTTTACAATCCTTCTAGTTCAACATTAAAAAATGGAATGTTCTACTGATTTTGTTTTGTACGGTTTGTAAAATGTATTTATATTTTAATCTTCAAAAAAAAAAAAAAAAAAGGGTTTTCATTTATACCAAACGCTTTGGGGTCCAATAGTATCAGACATTATTGATTCACTGATGTCCTGATGACATAGAGAGCACGCACAAACAAGTTCAGTCATCGTGTTGAGACATTTCCCTGGAAAATAAACCTTTTAACTGCTGTTGACATCAAATAAAACATCAATGGATTCATCATTTGGACCCACCGTGGTGCTGAACAGAATGGCAATTAAGTTGTTGAGATATTTGATTCAAAGTGTTACTTTTATTTCACCATGAATGGTACTCTTATGTAGTCCCAAAAGAGTAGCGTTATAGCTGCGTCTGTGCTGTCTGTATTTACATGCAAGGGCTTTTTTCTTCCAGACCTTCAGCACTTACATGGTCTGCTCTCATTGTCTAGGGGGTCTGGACCTGATCCTCATGCCTGGCCTGGGGTTCGACCGGTTTGGGAGACGTCTGGGAAGAGGGAGAGGCTTCTATGACACATACTTGGAGCGCTGCATCAGACACCCCAGTGGAAAACCCTACACCATCGCCTTGGCCTTCAAAGAGCAGCTTTGTCACGAAATCCCTGTCGATGACAACGATGTGCTCATAGATGAAATCCTGTATGAGGATGAGTAGCTAATCCGTCATGAAGTCAAGGCTGGTCATATTTACAAGTCAAAGTCCGCCAAATGTTTAACCTGGCCTCTCAATTGGATAGTGTGGCCGTGGTTACACTTCTCTCTTTGATTTTTGTGGCTGTGTCATTATGTTGCTGTTCCAAAGCTTTTATTTTGATGTAGCAGGATAATTGAATGTGCTTTCATGAGCTGTAAGTTCAAATGACTGACAGCAGGTCTTAAGGCCCAGGTGGAATTCATGTTGGTTTTTCCACCTGTGATATCCCTGCTATGACTTGTCAAAATATAATATGTTACCACATTATACAAATGAAGATAATTCATGGCTGTGTTGATTGTGTTGAAATATTTTGTGCCAGTTTCTGCTCTGTATGTCCTGCTGCTGATGTTACCATAAAGATGTGTGAGGTAATCACAAACTACATAAACATGATTGCTTTACACAATTATACCATTAATGGACAAATACAAGAAATGTGGATTCATGTTTTAAATATATATTTCTACATGTTTCATGGACCTCGATTGCTATTATCCATAAGTGTCTTCTACTGCTCTCACACTGTACCAGCTCACATAGTGACTGACTGCACGTCGTTATTCTGTTTGAGTCTTGGACATCACTCCTGGAGCAGAAATTGACCGTGTTATTACTAGTTGTGATATTCAGGATTTAATCTGGGAAGTTCAACATGCACGTTTAAAAGCCTTTAGACCTAATGACTGACGTCCCTTGATCAGAAAGTCAAGGTTATTGTGTTGCCATCCATCCATCCATCTTCAACCGCTTATCTGGGGTCGGGTCACGGGGGCAACAGCTTCAGCAGGGGACCCCAAACTTACCTTTCCCGGACCACATCTACCAGCTCTGACTGGGGGATCCCAAGGCGTTCCCAGGCCAGTGCAGAGATATAATCTCTCCACCTAGTCCTGGGTCTTCCCTGGACTATTGTATTGTGTTACTTTTAGGTCCCTTCCACTGCTAACATTGCTTTCGTTACTTGACGTCGATGTTTGTCCTTCAGTGCGCAAAGTGATGGCTGCAGCTAGAGGACTTTTACCAAACAAGTAATTTATGACACCCAATACAAGTGTAACATCAGTGCACATATGCCAAGAAACTTTAAGGAGGTAAAGGTGATGGTGCAGTAGTAAGTCTACTATTTGTATCGGGCCAAGAACTCGTCTCTGTTCTTGTCTTGTTGGACCTTAGTGCTGCATTTGATACTATTGATTATTGTATCTTTGCAGAGACTACAAAATTCAATTGGTATTGTAGTATATAATTATATTGATCCAAGTTTGTGTCTGAACAGGGAATCTGTGATGACCACCAATGTTGGTCACGGAGTCCCACAAGGTCCTGTGCTTGGACTGATTTTATTTACCCTGTATATGTTTCCTTTAGGAAATGTCAGAAAATTCTGCATATATTGCTATGCAGACGATACTCAATTGTATCTGTTGATCAAGCCAGATGAGACCAGCCAGCTCGTTGGACTTGTCTCGGGGAGACAACTTTCTGATGCTAAATCCAGACAAAAATAGAGGTTCTCTTGTTTGGCCCAGAGCGCCTTCGAGATCAGTTGTCTGGGGATATAATTTCTCTGGATGAAATTACTCCGTCATCCTGTAGCAACGTAAAGAAACTTGGAGTTCTCTTTGACCAGCATGTGTCCTTTAATTTAGAAACAACAAACTTCACTTTCATCTACTTGATATTTTATCAGGGAATGGCATGAATTCAATTGCACTTCTCTGATATGATCTGGTCAGGTGGGATTGTTAATCGCTTTCAGATGTATTTTTGTTGTTTGTTGCGCTAGAGGGGCGACAATGAGACAACTCCCCCAAACAGGACTGGTTTTGCATTTGGAGGCCAATTCAAGAATGGTTGCCGCTTCCCCCCGGTGTGAGAAGGCGGGGTAAAGCAGGTCCTTCCTCCCTGCTGCTGCCAGGCTGCGCAAAAGCTCAGCTCCACTTACCAAATAACAACATGGGAAATTACTCATTCAATCATGTGCAATATCAGTATGCATATCAATGTATACGTGCAATATAAACAAACACTTCCCATTTCATGTTCAGAAATGTGTGCACAACCACTTAAGCTGATTACATCGTATTTTTCATTTGGTAGTTTACTCTGCTGTAACCTTGCGAATCTTTCTGTCTCTGTGGGACTAATAAAGGATTATGTTATTTGATCCTAGCTTACATGTGTGCACTTCTTTGACCGTGGTGGGACAGTCAACACGGTGTGAATATATACTAAAACAACCAGTTAGTCTTTATATTTGAAAAATGGAATCAAAGTAACATTTTAAAAAACGCTGTCAATGAGATAAATATTTCCCTTTTTGTGCAGCTTGACAGTTTGTTTGATCCATCCTTCAGACATCTGGGGATGCACTGCACCAACTGTGGTTCTTAACAACCATTATGTTTTTCAGGGACACAAATGAGCCCATTCAGCTTTGCACCTCATGGTGAGCTGAAGCAAACATGACATGATGAGCAACACAAATACTTCAACAGAAGTCTTCAGGGGGAACCAGTAATTACTCCTCTCATTCCATTTATCCACTTACTGCGAAGTAAAGAGAAGATGTCATGGCTTCATATTACGTCATATCATTGAGATACAAGGTCTGCAGTTAAGTGTGGTCTGCATTCACAAGCCTTTCTTGTCACGTCACACATGGCAGCTCCAGTTATACAAACTGGATGGACTGTGTCTGTGCAAGAAGATGTCTCTACATGTGCTAATGGTTCACTTTGAACAGTAACCTCGTAATGCACAGTCAGATGTTTGGATAATGCCACTGAAACAGAAGCCAACAGATACGTCACAGTGAGCAGCTTATTACGTGTAGCTCCTGTCTGCATGTGGTCATCTTGGGCCGCTGCATGTGAAAAAAAGAGAAGGAATAATTCCCGTCCAGGGATTGTTAAGTTTAAGTAGTAGTCTGTGGTTCTCCAGATGGACACAATGTTACAGTCTGGACATGCAGTGAACTCATGGGAGGGATACGAGACAGTGGACCACTTTGATTCAGATTTGATTCATCTTATCATGTATTGAAATGGATCAGACGTGAGTCTAAGAACAGTTATCTACTTGGGCTAAGAGCTTTAAGAGCGAGGAAGGGTTGTATGGGAAGAGTTTCTTTGTGTGCAGCCTCGTCACCACCTCTCTGAGCTGTGACAGGCAGAGCACGGCTCTGGCTGATGGTTCACAGCCCAGCTGTCCCGACATGGTTGGACGTGGTGACGGTTGCTCAATCTGCAGCACTGGCGCTGATGGCCCTTCCTGTCTTCTTTGCAGAGGGGAGTTCGCTTTAGAGGCCGCTGGGACACTAATCTCTTGTTTCACATCCAAGGCCCTACAGCTACTCCTCTCACAGACAGAGGCCCCGTGTTCCTCCTCAGAAACCTCCATGTTCTCTGGATCAGATTGGTCAGAACTATCGTACCCTACAAGATTGATGGTTCCCACTGGTAAAATACCACCCGTGGGCTGTACACAGGAGCTGACTACTCTTTGATCTGACCCGCGTTTACAGGTCACCAACATGTCGCCACGACCTGGCCCAGTTAGGGAGTGCCGCAGGGAAAGAGGAGAGTTGTGCGAGCTGATTCTTCCACATGCTGCAATGAAGCCCTGCCAGTCCCCTCGAAGGTACTTGAGGTACCGCACAAAGTACTCTAGAAAGCAGGTTTCAGTGGAGATGAGGAAGTCGAGGAGGATGCTGTGGTCGAAGGAGATGGTCTGAAGCAGCAGCAGGAAGAGGCAGTGAGGGTTACTGCCACAGGCACAGGCTGCCTCCAACAAAGCAGGGTCATCCAACCCAGAACACTGTCTGCAGGCAGAAACAAGCAGTTCACTCATAACATGATGGCTAGCTCGCCCGCGTGATTGCACTGGTTCTCTTCTATGGATGTCTGAAGGTATTGAAGGTTTACTTTCATTTTGAAATGTTTTGATGTCTAAATGATTCCATGGGGAAATTATTTCTAAAATTGCACTTTTGATCAAATCATGTTGATGAAAATAAATGCCATGCTTGACTGTAGCACCTGTGATGGAGGAATATGGAAAACAAAGCTTTTGCTGCCTCCATCATGTCGTCGTCCTGGTCCCCAAACAGCAGGCTGACCCAGCAGCAGGGGTGAGTGACCCCCGTCAGCTGGACACTGCAGCGCCTCAGGAAGCCCCACAGACTCTGCAGATACCCGTAGACCTCCGAGGCACTGTCTACTCCTGCTGGGACGGAGCCACAACATAACTGAAGATTAGGAGAGCGGCCTCTGCTGTGGGAATAGTGTCATACAGAGGGTCCAGAAGTCCTTCCTGACACACAGTACAACAATTCAAATAAACAAAGTATAGTGTGAAATGAAACTTTGTTGGCTTGTAAACACAGCATTTGACATGTGACATCAATTGATTAATCACCCAATGCATACAACGTCTCCTGTGTGGTCCCTCACCTGTTGCTCCAGCTGTTTGGATGTGAAGCTCCATGGACTTGAGAAGAAGCAGGCTGACGGCTCTCAGCATCACACAGTCTGGTTTGTGGCCTTCCTCGCCTCTGATGCGTTTGGTCCCCCCAAAGTAAGAGGCAGACTTCACTTGGACACTGTGCAACCAACCAGCAGCCACCGCCGTCAACACACTGTGAGCCAGCATGTTCATGTCCGAGTGGAAGTCCTTGTATCTGAGCCCAGTGGAAAGCACTCCTGCTGGAGCCCAGTCCTCTCCAGCCTTCTGCAGCACCGCTCTCTTCAGAAGCAGCAGCGCTCGCTTTTTGACAAAGTACTGGGGCGAGCAGCTGACCGTGGTCAGCAGTGCTGAGGAGTAAATCATGGTTGTTCTCTGACTCCTCAGACAGACACCAGCTCCACCAATCAGACTGGATGCAGTCAGCACCTCCAGCAGGTCCAGCAGGAGACCCGCCGTAGAGGTAGCGTCCATCAAACACTGTGCTCCTGCTGCCCTCTCTTCAGGGAGAAACTTTGGACATAACGCACTCAGGCTGGCATCAAGAGCAGCCAGAAGTTCCCCAAGGATGTCTGCTGGACGGAAAGAGATGTTACTGTGCCTTTTAGTGCACGTCAGCGTGCCCCACTGGTTAGCCCATGGCCGCTCTGCCCTACCGCCATACGGCGGTTACAGCTGAATCGGCGTCTGGTCCGTCTGCAACGTCGCCATTGTCTGCACTCTTAGCACCGTTAGCAGCTAGCCATCAGCTTAGGAGTCACCATATAGAGCCGTGTGGAGGCATTAGATATACTCTGAATTTATGAAAATCAGTCAACATAACTTTATTCTATTGTTTTTAAGATTATTTTTTTTTGGATAGTTTGCAATGACGAGGTCAACAGTGGACCTAGGTAGATGAAGCAGGGGTTGTCATAAACACCGGTGCAGCTACATGCGATGGAACCATTCAGTGAGAAGACCAATTAACTGTAATTTGTCCCTGTTTATTTCCTGTTACACTTTATCAGAATAACATAAGCTCTACTCTGACATAAGAAAACCACGGAACCAAGTCAACAACAATTGTGTATATTTTCATCACTCTTCCTGGGACACATCTGACAAGTCTCTCAGTGTCCTAGTTTGGGGAGATAGCTTTGACTGAGATGCACAGCGTGGATCACAGGAAGATCAAGTAGATGATACCCGAGGTTCGGCTGGCTCATCAACAACAAGCTCAGCTGTTTTGGGTTGACTGTCCCTAAAGGAACAGAGAGTTTCAGGTCCCTGTGTAGGATGACAAAGGGTTTTACCTTGATGAGGTCCTTTGAGGAGTCTTTTTAAGACTTCAGTGAGAGACCACAGGCAGGAATCCAATTCAGGTCCAGGGGATGAGCAGGAAAATACCTGCACACACTTCTGCAGCCAAACAGGACTGAATGTACCCTGAGAAATTAAAGTATACATATGTTATAAACCCATAATGTTGGAAATAGTTGTGTCAGATACTATATGAAGCTGGTATTGTTCAGATAACTGCTGTGAATTCCCTGTGACCTCTCCTGACCCACGTCCAACGGTGTGGGACAGCTTTCAGGCTGCACTTGCGCTTGTTTTGACCCTTTTTTATTGTTGTTGTGTCCTGTTTAGTTTCAATGCACTCGGTTTGCAGCTCTTTGCTGTTTTGGCATGTCATGGATCTAAAACCAAAGATGTTCTTCACCGGTTAAGTCTCACACCACACGCACTGTGTTCACAAAGAATGAGATGTGCACTTGGATGATGGCTCGATGTTTCTGAAGAATGGGACTAAAGCCCTGAGAACTCACAGATCGGTGGAGCTGATAGAAAACACACGCAGACAGGGCCTTAGCAGCGAGATGTGAGACGACCTGGTCCTCATTCTGGAACTGGTCAATCTGTGGAGGAGCAATCTGTTCACAAAACGCACGCATGCTGTTGTGTTTTTAGGCAGTCTGAGGAGAGCGGAGGACTTACAAGATGGGACATGAGAGACAGGTGTTGAAACGACTGCGCCAGGACGTCCTCGCAGTACCACGTGACTGCAGGAGACAGGCTGCGAGACGTCAGGTTGGATGTAATCTTCTCCAGCAGAGTCAAACTGAGACAGGTCACATCCACGCAGCTGTCATTGCAAATCCCCGCCGGAGAACGTGCTCTGTGATCGGGGACGAGTCCACGCACCGCGGAACATACGAGAAGAGCCACATCCGCAGCGCTTTGGCTGGGACACGATCCCATCAGAAGACTCCTGTACGCATCGGTCAGCCGGTCCAAACGCTCTCTCGTGGTGGATTGGTCTCTGACGCACGCTGTGGGCTCCATGATGCCCGCTCTCATGTGATACACGCGGAAGCAGCGCTGCAACTAATAACACCGTAGGCGGGCGACGTCAAGTCATCTATAGTTAACGAAAGGAGACCGGATGTTTAGCCCCAAAATAAAACTATCACATTGTTTCATTGGATAATAATGACTTTGATCATAATAGAATACTGACAGCTCCTGTTAAATAGCCTTGGTGGCTGAAAATGGTATGTAAATGTAAAAATGCAAGTTAAGTTTTGCAGTCACACAATTGCACAGCAAGAGTGGAACCCACAGCCACCAGCAATCCCACCAAACAATACATTACGATACATGTCCTCCTTTGGTGGAGAAGCAACTTTAATTAATTTGACTGTTTGACATTTCATTTTCTATTATATTCCCTGTTTGTAGTTTTTACAAACTCTACGGTTTGTAGTCAATTTACATTTGAGGAAATTGTGTGTTTTATTCTGAAGGACTGGATACGCCGGAAGTTGTATTGTTTTTGCTACTGGGGTCACACTGATGTGTTCACAGAGACTTTGTTGTTATAGTGAATAGTTCAACAATGAAATGGTGGTACACATTGCTGTGAATGACATTCGGGGAAGTTTTAATAGACATTGCCGCTGTTAAGTGATGGATTTGAGTCAGAAATCTGCTGCTTTGACAACTCCAGTGCTTCATGTCTGGGAGCTGATTGGTTAAGTTAAACGTCGGCTCGGCGTCTGTCAAGTATGTTCAGTCTCTGTTTTATACAATCAAAGCTGTTGGGTTTGTCATTGAACATGTAGAGTCGTCTTTAATATTGATGTACGCTGAGTATTGGGGCTCAACGTAGTTACCCACTACAGCAAATAACGTTAACGTAACAAAAAGTCAACACAAGCTAGCAAGCTAACGTTAGTGAGTTTGTTAGCTAGCTGGCTAGCCAACGTTAGCTATCAGTTACCAGACTGCTATCCAGCCTCAAATCGATGGGTTTGTCAAAGAATGTATTACATTTTCTGCAATGTGTGGAACTAATTGGCTTCATCTGCCGGATATGCTCCCGGTGCTTCTGTTAGTTGTACTTGTGCGTGGTTTGTATGTTAGCAAGTAATGTTAAAGCCATTCTATTGTCCATGTTTCTTCATCAACTGCTTAAGCTAACCAAATGAAAGGTGCCGTCAGTGTGACCACATGATGAGAGCTCTGTTTGTTTATTAGCGAGTTGTGTACTCACAACATTCCTCTCTTTGGCGTTCAACGGCAAAGTTGTATGCATAACGAATCCACAACATTGTAATTTCTGTGTTTCTATGCAGCTTGCTACTTTTGTGCTGCATGCAAAGCTGATTGGTGTGTGTGTTGGTGTGTGCCAGACTGCCGTCCTGGTCCTATGTCCTTCCTCTCAGAGCAGCTGCAGCTCCGATATGACTAAGAGAAGCCCGTCTCTTCAGCTTGTCAAAAGGTACATCAGCGTTTTGTGCTTTAAATAAGTTATAATACTTAAACAACGTGAGTCATTCCTCTCAACAACAGAAGCTGTTTGATTGTCTCTGAAACCTCATGTCCTCACAGCCCGTAATCTACATCGCAACTATGATTTAGAGGCAGGATATAGTGAAAGCAGGATTGTAGGGAGACCTCAGTGTAGAGCAGCGCTTTCCAGGCCCCGCATCCCTTCTACATCCCAACTGGGTTCATGCACCACCACACTTAAAAAGAAAAAGTCTATTTATAGCTGCATTCAAATTGGACCAATGTCCGAACAGTTTGCTCACGCGTGATGTTTGTTTACAATATTTAGTCCGGTGTTAAATGTTGCAGTGTGAACACAGAATGAACCAAGGGGCAACTGCAACATTGTATCATATTTATTCCGAATCAGGACAAACAAAAAAACTAGATAAATACCCTGAAACAAAGGTACAATGAATTCCAGTCATGTCACTTTAAAGGAGCAATAAGAAGGACGAGGACACAAGCACAGCCTCAGAAACAGATAGGAATGAAAAGGGAGAGAGAGAGAGCGCCATAGAGAGAATTAACTCCGTCTCTCTCTCTCTCTCTAACCTCACATTACACAACTGAGTGTTCACACACATTTGTTTTTGCAGATCCCTTTCTTTGGCATAGATTCATTATGTTCCTTAAGACATGCCCAAATGACCTAGCGACTCTGCTTCTATTCACAGGAAATACCGTCTAAACCTTCTAATGGTCACAGCACATGCATGGCCGCCTTACTTTGTGTGGCCAATGTGTACTCTCTCCTTTTGCAAGGCTCCTATGCGCCTGTCTACTTGGGTGCATGAGAGAATATCCAGTTTAATTACAACTGACATATATGTGAAATATACATTTCATTTTGGACAGGAGAACATTTTCATAGCAGTGAGGTCATCAACCGCTTAATTCTGCTGAGCCAACCAGTTCCCCAAGACCTCTATAATGTGTTCACCAATTTGTACTATCAGAGGTCAGGTACAGATGAACATTCCCAATCCCAAATGTGACAGGATGCTGAACCATCACTGCAGAAGGAACCCTGAGCTTCACGAGGAGCTGCAGATCCAGGCTGCAGTGGCAGCGGGGGACGTCTGCACGGTCCGCAGAATGCTGGAGCAAGGATACTCGCCTAAGATCCGCGATGCCAACGGATGGACACTGCTCCACTTCTCTGCTGCCAAAGGAAAAGAGAGATGTGTTCGGGTCTTTCTCGAGCATGGCGGTCAGAGGCGTTTTCTTTTCTGGTCTTGCTGTTAAGTTTGGCTTCATTTGGTGGAAAGTATTATGTCATTATAGCTGTAAACACTAGAGGTCATTATTTTACTGAGAGAGAAAGCCTTTTAATATAAATAGAAAAAAAAAATATATATATATATATATATATATATATAATCTTTGATAAGCTCTGACTTTACTAGTGCTTTTTATTAGACTTGATAACATTTTGGTGTAATATTGAGCATTCCCACTTTACCCTCTGATATGAAATGTCCCACAAAATGATGACTGACACTAGTGTGTAAAACTGTGGTTCTGTCTTTTGCTCTAAAGTCATGTTATCCCTACCTACCTGAAATGGAGAGGAGCACTTGAGGGGTGTCTCACGTTTTTCCACTGATGAACTCTGCGGATTATTCCTAATGTGTAGCAGTGTGTGAACTGTGCACTGTGCTGTGGTGTACTCTGGTACCTGTTGAGCAACTTTAGAGCAACAGTTTGTGTGGACTGGATTAACAAACTTTCCACTCATTTCCTCTCCTTCCTGTCTCCTTTGTGCAGCTGACCCCACAGTGAAGGACTTTATCGGAGGCTTCACGGCACTTCACTACGCTGCTATGCACGGCAGAGCGCGCATCGCCCGATTGATGCTAGAACTGGAGTTTCGCAGTGACATTATAAATGCAAAGAGCAACGACGGCTGGACGCCACTCCACGTGGCCGCCCATTACGGCCGAGACTCGTTTGTACGCCTCCTCCTCGAGTTCAGGGCCGAGGTGGACCCGCTGAGTGACAAAGGGACCACGCCGCTCCAGCTGGCCATCATCCGCGAGCGCTCCAGTTGCGTACGGATCCTCCTCGACCACAGTGCCAACATTGACATTCAGAATGGCTTCCTGCTGCGATATGCCGTTATCAAAGGAAATCACACGTACTGCCGCATGTTCCTGCAACGGGGAGCTGACACTAATCTGGGACGTCTTGAAGACGGCCAAACACCCCTGCACCTCTCTGCCCTCAGGGATGATGTGTTGTGTGCCCAGATGCTCTACACATACGGGGGAGATGCCAACACCAGGAACTACGAGGGCCAGACACCAGTAGCAGTTTCTGTTAGCATGTCTGGGATCAGCAGGCCCTGTTTGGACTTCCTTCAAGAAGCCACCAGTGAGTCTCACCATCACACAAGCACGTCCCACATCAGCACCTGTCCACAGCTAGTTGTCCTTAGGACTTACGATAGCTCAAATCATGATCTCTTTCAGTGTTCCCAGCTAGGTTTACAACAAACGGACCCACCAGTGGGGGAGGGGGGGATTAGTTGTTGTGGACAGACAGCCCTCTGTCAGCTGGTGCAAGTGTGCGCACATGTTTTGGGCGGAAATGCCGTGTGCTGCAAAAGATGAGTCATGCTAATATATGAAATGGTGAGGAACACAGCCCTTCCTTGGGGGGGCCGGGGCACCCCCCTTGTTCAATGTTAGGGGAAACTTTTTTTTTTATCTCCCCAACATTGTGAAACTCCAGATGTATCGAATACCGTATTTTCCGCACTATAAGGCGACTTAAAAGCCTTTAATTTTCTCAAAAACGACAGTACGCCTTATAATCCGGAGCGCCTTATATATGGATCAATTGGTTTATTGGTTGATCCATACTGGTTGTACACGGTGCTCAGGGTGCTCTGCCAAACATGCCAAAGCTCGGTCTACGACGGCGAGATGCTGAGCGGGCGCTCAAGCGCGTGAGATGTGGAGCGTGTTTCAGGGCGCGTCGGAGAAACAAAGCTGATGAGATAATGAGATTAAAGAGCGAAAGACGATGCCCTTTTCTTTACAGGAGCTGAACCATCTTAACGGTGCATCGCCACTGCTGCTTTTTATCAAGGACACATTTGTCCCGTATTTTCCTCCACAACTTTGTTCCCCTCGACCGGCGAACCGACGTTTGTGGAGATCTCCCTCCATGAAATCAGAGGCCATCCGCGCGTCCTCATAGTCCGCCAATGACGGCTTGTAGAAGCGGTCATATTTACGCATTTCTTCAGACAAAAGCTCTTCAATCTGATCCGTTCTCTCGTAAACATTCTTCGTTTTAATAATGGCCGTATTGTGCGATGAACCTCGCAGCATCGATCGGACCCTGAGCACAGTCTCCACCTCCCCACATCCCCCCCATCCAGCCGCCCCGACGTCAAACGATTGACTGCAGTATCTTATGCGCCTTATAATCCGGTGCGCCCTATATATGAAAAATGTTCTGAAATAGGTCATTCATTGAAGGTGCGCCTTATAGTGCTGAAAATACGGTACATTTGCTAAAACCACAGTAAAGCATTTGAAAAGTTTATTACACAATGCATTGTTAATTTGAACAAAACCAGCCAACGGCATAACAATTGAAGGCAATTTGCTTTTGTGTAACCAGTTACAATGAAATGTCGTTGCATTAATATTAATAACCTGAGTGTTACATTTGATAATTTAACAGCTGAAAAGCCCATTTGGCTGCCTCGTGAGTTAGGCTTAAATTATTTGTGTGTGTGTGTGTGTGTGTGTGTGTGTGTGTGTGTGTATATATATATATATATATATATATATATATACATTATACATTTTGATGGTTTACACTGACTTAAAATTGGACATGACAATATGGATCACACATTGTAATTGGTATCAGCACGAAAAAACAATCTGTAAAGAGGAATAGTGTGTAGAAAACAATTGTGATTTTATGAAAACAAAAGAGCTTTTTATTGGAATCTGTGAGAGGTAAAAATTTAGACAAATGTAAAGTGTAAGATGGCTGCTTGCCAGCAGAAGGTTTTAATGAGTAGTATTCAGTCCCAGAACAATCCCGGGGTGGAGGAACAGGAGAGCACATTACCTGAAGCTTTATGATTTGGTGAACAATGGCTGCATTCCTCCACGGCCCCCCTATCTTTGATATCAAAGAGCAGCGTGCTGATTCAGACAAGTCCTTTCAGAGCCTGCAATCCCTCAGCTAGATCACATATCTGTGGGTTATTGATTACACCTCTACCTCCTGGATTAACTCATATGCCATGAAAGGCTTGTGCAACACTGTATGACAGACACTAAGCCCTTTTCATCTGCTGCACACATCAATGTTGCTTCCCATAGGTTCCCTCTTGTCTGCAACACGTACAATCAAAACCAACATCTTCTAAAGATTTCTGATCCCCAAAGTCCACAAATCATTGAGAAAGGTATAAATCGACCTCCTATAGAGCGTACCTTCATGGTAATGGAGGCCTGTTAACCTGAGGCTTTATTTTCACTCAGTGAATAAATGCAAAATACTGGCTTGAGAATGTAATATGTAGTGCTTTTAATTATATATATATATATATATATATATATGTATTATAAAGATAAAAACAAAATGACTGGATCTGGCCTGTGTGGACATTTAAAGAAACAATGATGTCCCTATTATTATATATTTAGTAGGGCTGGGAGTGTTTTATCATTATTATATAATAATATTGTAATATTATATAATTATCATTATTTTGAAACTCAGCTGCTCACTGGTTCTTAATACACATCCAGGTTGTTGACAAACCCTGATCTTTGAACAAGGTCATGTAACTTGTTGACTTGATAAGCGGTTCTGTTGTTATTCAAACCCCAAATACTAGTGTCAGTGCAAGCGGCGCCTGGGTGTGTCTAACATAATGGTCGGTCGAGAGGGTAGTGAGTAACAGCGTCTTCTTTGTGACACTTTAAAGGCAGACGTCTTCATATCATAGACATGGGTCTTCAAAGCATTTCCATCTACAATATGGAATCATTTGAATAACCTTCACTATAGAGCCACAGAGACATACATCTCAAACACAATGATTTAAACCAGCATTGTTAGCAGCTTCCCGCTCAGTGCTAAAAATGTGCAACTCGACAGAGATGAGAGAGAACTACCATGGATTCCTAGTGCAGTGCTGATCATTAACGTGCCATTAGCTACCTTCCCCTCTGCTGACCATCCATGGGATCACTAGCTCTGAGGTGTTCAGGGACCGTGATGGAGGAGACGACCTGCAAGCCAAGTCTTGTAGAAGCTCTGAGCCATATACTGCCAATGGAGCGTTTATCGGGCTTATAAAAGGAAAATGAAAAGAAATTGTCTGATTTTGGCTAAACATCGTTAATTAGATATTGATTTGGAGGTATTGATTTTTATTTTATTCTTAAAGTCATGCATTGAGCACTTAACAAAGGGGGGCTGCGAGGCTTAGGGGTTAAATGAGGTCTAGCTGGGACGTTTTCAGGTATCTGGGACCACTGGGTGTTAGAAACCCACCCTGAGTACACTGCGCTTTCTTGTTCTTGAAATGCACTTCTTGTAAGTCGCTTTGGATAAAAGTGTCAGCTAAATGACATGTAATGTAAAATAAATAATCAGGAGATCTATTCTTGCAAGACGGAGCGGCGTTGAATCCCGTACAGTTTATGCGTCAGGTTGCTGCTCTGTGTCTGAGGATCTGTTGATGAACACACACAACAGGTTCCAACTGAGCTCAACCTGTTCTTCTTCATCGTCTGTCAAAGCAGGTGTCAGTGGTGGGAATGTGTTGTGTCTATTTTCCAAATAATGCTGATGTTTGCAAGGCTACACGTTTATATTTGTTTCAGTTATATTTCAGTTACAAGGACTCGTCCCACATTGTGTCCCAGTGTTCTGATTATGCTAATTGGACATTGTTGATCATTTCTTGAACATCAATAAGAGTAAAGACTTGTCTGTGATAAGCCAATAGTCCTTGGACCAAAGACTATGTCAGTCTGCAGTAATGCCCACTGAGACATTATTCCACTGTGTAATAACTGTTTCTGTTCCTCTTTCAGGACAACCTCGGACCCTACAAGACTTGTGTCGTATAAAGATCCGTCACTGCATTGGCCTTCACAGCTTGAAGTTGTTGGAGGATCTACCCATTGCAAAGGTTATGAAAGACTATTTAAAACATAAGTTTGACAGCGTGTGAAAGCAAAACTCTGCTATCATTTATAAAGACTATGCAATCTCTATCCTCCTAATCTGGAAGAAAAGTCCACGTTTGTCTAGCCTGGATCTCCAGTTTAACAGATCTCTGCTCCTGTTCTCCATGTTCACATTAAGAACCGTGGCTGAAGAAGGGGAATGGATCTGTCACATGTGACCAACGGTTGTGCTGAAAAGAAGCTAGCAGTTTATGTTGTCAATGTAAAAATGTGCATCCTTGTCATCAAATGCAAATTTGCCAACTCTTATTTTTTTACCCACCTGTAGGAATCTAAACTCTCCAATCAGCAATGCGTTGAGCTGCTTGGGTAAAAATAGCTCTTAAACTAACACTTGAGAAGTTTCACTCCCTGCATTTGTATTACCACAATAGTGAGCTCAACTTTGCTCGTTTTGGCTTTGTTTTTTGTTTTTCCCATTAAATGTAATGCCATTTTTATTTATTATTTATGACGTGGTTCATTTAGTAAAATTCCTAATTAGAGCATAAATAGCTTATTACTTACTTGAATGTCTAAATTAGCCTGGTTCCCAATGACTCTTTTAGCATACTGGCGTTGTGTCCATGACAGTCATTTCCAATTTGCTGTGTCAGCAGAAAGAAGTGGTCTTCCATCCGCTCGTCCTGCTTTGAACACAGAGGACAGTTAGCATGGAGCTAAAGATGGAGGCGCGGGGCTTGTCAGATCATTCATGGGAGGCCAAAAGAGATTTTGTCAACACTATTATTAGTTGATACTTGTGAGGATGTAAACAATAATGACTTTGAAACCAATGACTAACCCTAGATAATAATCTGCATCCAGCATTTATTCAGCTCGTAACTTCCACATTTTAAAATAAGTTAGATTTGGCCTCATCTTTGAGTGCTTGTACATCATAACATCAACATGTCACATCAGCACAATGAGCTCACTGCTGGTTTGTTGGAACTTTATATCAACAGTGAGCCAAAAGGACATTTTGAGGTCTGGCACTGTAAGAGTGAAGCGTAACACACGCGACCAGATTCCATCACTGTGTAAGTGTGTTTACTGATGTGAGAGAATCTATTTGTGTTTTTCGTGACGACAAGCAAGAATACAACCTGCAGTTGAAAGGATTTTGAAATACTAATTTGACTATAAATCCATCCATGTCTTCACTGTGTGTTGGACATTAGGATTTGGAGTATAGTTTCCTCATGGGTCACAAGAGGGTGGGGGGGGCACCGACACTTCATTATCCGATGCACGCTCTGTCTGCTGGTGGGAGCCTGTGTGTCGCGTGTCAGTGTGTGCTCATCGTGCACAGAGAGCAGCGACAAGTTGTAAATGTAAAAAAAAAAAAAAAAAACTTTGAAACTTTCTTGGGGGGGGGGACTCTAAAACAGTGGAGTAGATGCACTGTGATAAAGTACCATGTTTCCTCTAAAGCAATGGTATCATGACCAGTGTTTCCCCTTAGTTTACAACCTTGGGGGGGTGTCGGGGGCTTAGTAGCGGGGGGTGCCCCCCTTGTTGAAGGGTAGGGGAAACACTGATGAGCGATAAGGAAGGCCTTGGATAACACTGACTGCCACAAGCAACAGTCAATGTAAATATATTGCATGTACAACAGATATTTTTGTAGAATTTATTTAAGAAATCATCTCTGGTATTCTTAATGTATTTAAAGTTTGGAAAGTATTGTGATCTGTTTAGTGTGACCCAAGTATTTTTAATTTTTTGTGTGTCTGAGTTAAAGAACTCTGTTTTATGAGAATCATTTGGAGTCAATATTGGTTCTTTAAGGCCGAAATGTTGGGTGCTCTCTTAAAATTCATCATCTCTTGCGGGTAACTCTGTTGTGGAGATTATACTGTGAATTTTTCAAATGGACAACACAAAATAAAATACAGGATTGGGGATCTAAATGATTCCTATGCCACAGGATTTTTTTCTGTCTCTGCATGTGTTTAAAATCTCTAGTGATATGATTTGTTGCACCTAATATGGGTTTTCCTCAAATGTTGTATTCACAAATCAGTTCTGACAATGTTCAGCTGCATTCATTTGTCAGTGTCTGTTTGGATGTGTCTGCAGCTTTGGATTAAGACCTTTGGTGGAAAGTGCACATTCTGACATACAAACTGTGCTCTATGGGGGGGGGGTCCTCTGTGTTCTTAACAATCTGACAAACTATTGCATTTCCTCTAATGCTGAGCTTCAATACAATATCGGTATTGCAATATGAGACTAGTTATTGTTTTCAAATATGGTTTTAAAATCTAAAGTAAAGTGATGTCATTTCTCAATGTATCACTCTGTTCTAGCACATTTTAATTTATACTGAATCTCATTGTGTAAATATTTTTGTAAAAGTGAACACTAATATCATTATTAAAGGATTTAATTTCCTCCCTCAGAAAACTGTCTGCATGCAAACATGACGAGAGTAGATGAGAAATCTCTGCTTGCACACGTCTTTTCTATCTATCTAGATTCACCAAAGCTCCTTCACACAATCTGACATGCCTCAAAACTGAGAGCAGCACTTTATCGGAGGTGAGACTTTTTTAGACCATCTGACACAATGTGACACCGAAAGTCCCAAAACTTGGCTGTTATCGCCCCCTTCGTGGGCCTTTCATCCGCTGAATGCTGCATTTTTTTAATGGGGTCCTTTGAGTTTGATCATGTTCTTGGTGACCACTTTCCAGTGTTCCCAAATCGGTCATCAATTGTCACTTGTTTTTAACATGAAATTGTTTAGTCAATCACTACAGATATGGGAGTTAATTTATACTTCTGAGGTTACTTCTGTTATGGCCTATATTGACAGCCATTTGAAACCTCAAGGCTAAGCTTTTATTTTGATAATAGGAATGTGAAATGGCCCGTTCTTACCACCCTCAGTCTGCCCTCTGACACGAGGTGGGCTGTTTCCTCTACAAGAGGCAGTTGCTTAAATGGAACCACCACCAAGCCAGACAGTATTTATTTTCTATTTGACAATGTAGGTTTTGTAAATATGCACATGACCTGTTTTTGATAGAAGGTCCAGTAGTTTACTGATTTCTGAATGATTTGACTATTACCCCCCTTACTTCCTAATTATTTTGGTTATACAGTATCTTAGATGTGGCCCAAAATAACCTTCATCATGACAGTATTTTCTCCACACATTTCCAGAAGTGTTTTCATGTTCCTACGGCTCCTTCCTTTCTGTACAGGACTCTGGATTTGATACGATGCCCATTTTGCAGCAACACTTTTGTATTGGTGTGTGAAATGAGTGTGTCATACATCGGCTGCCCTCCCCCAATCGGGTCCCTCAGCAGACTTTGGTCTTCACAGTCAGGGAAACACTTCATACATGTCTTATGTGGCTATTGAATGGCTGTAAGTCTTCCACACCATTTAACTACTGAATGTACACATTATGCAGATTTTCAAACATGAAAATGTGTCAATAAACTCAAATTTTGTTTGATTTACTTGCTATTTGTGAATTTATTGAATGTCAAAATCTGTGTTGTCCCATTGTGGACAGTCCCCTCAGCCTCTCTGTCCTACTGTAACCAGTCCAGCCTCTCTGTCCCAATGTAATCAGTCCACTTAGTGTCTCGGCCTCACTGTAACTAGTCCACTTAGTCTCTTTGTCCCACTGTAACCACTCTACTTAGTGTCTCTGTCCCAATTTAACCAGTCCACTTAGTGTCTCTGTCCCAATGTAACCAGTCCACTTAGTGTCTTTGTCCCACTGTAACCAGTCCACTTAGTGTCTCTGTCCCAATGTAACCAGCCCACTGAGTCAACTTTGTCCCACTGTAACCAGTCCACTTAGTGTCTCTGTCCCAATGTAACCAGTCCACTTAGTCAACTTTGTCCCACTGTAACCAGTCCATTTAGTGTCTCTGTCCCAATTTAACCAGTCCACTTGGTGTCTCTGTCCCAATGTAACCAGTCCACTTAGTGTCTTTGTCCCACTGTAACCAGTCCACTTAGTGTCTCTGTCCCAATGTAACCAGTCCACTTAGTCAACTTTGTCCCACTGTAACCAGTCCACTTAGTGTCTCTGTCCCAATGTAACCAGTCCACTTAGTCAACTTTGTCCCACTGTAACCAGTCCACTTAGTGTCTCTGTCCCAATTTAACCAGTCCACTTAGTGTCTCTGTCCCAATGTAACCAGTCCACTTAGTGTCTTTGTCCCACTGTAACCAGTCCACTTAGTGTCTCTGTCCCAATGTAACCAGTCCACTTAGTGTCTTTGTCCCACTGTAACCAGTCCACTTAGTGTCTCTGTCCCAATGTAACCAGCCCACTGAGTCAACTTTGTCCCACTGTAACCAGTCCACTTAGTGTCTCTGTCCCAATGTAACCAGTCCACTTAGTCATCCTTTGTCCCACTTTAACCAGTCCACTTAGTGTCTCTGTCCCAATTTAACCAGCCCACTTAGTGTCTCTGTCCCAATGTAACCAGTCCACTTAGTGTCTTTGTCCCACTGTAACCAGTCCACTTAGTGTCTCTGTCCCAATGTAACCAGTCCACTTAGTCAACTTTGTCCCACTGTAACCAGTCCACTTAGTGTCTCTGTCCCAATGTAACCAGGCCACTTAGTCAACTTTGCCCAACTGTAACCAGCCCACTTAGTGTCTCTGTCCCAATTTAACCAGTCCACTTATTGTCTTTGTCCCAATGTAACCAGTCCACTTAGTGTCTTTGTCCCACTGTAACCAGTCCACTTAGTGTCTCTGTCCCAATGTAACCAGTCCACTTAGTGAACTTTGTCCCACTGTAACCAGTCCACTTAGTGTCTCTGTCCCAATGTAACCAGTCCACTTAGTGTCTCTGTCCCAATGTAACCAGTCCACTTAGTGTCTCTGTCCCAATGTAACCAGTCCACTTAGTGTCTCTGTCCCAATGTAACCAGTCCACTTAGTCAACTTTGTCCCACTGTAACCAGTCCACTTAGTGTCTCTGTCCCAATGTAACCAGTCCACTTAGTCAACTTTGTCCCACTGTAACCAGTCCACTTAGTGTCTCTGTCCCAATTTAACCAGTCCACTTAGTGTCTCTGTCCCACTGTAACCAGTCCACTTAGTGTCTCTGTCCCAATGTAACCAGTCCACTTAGTCAATGAGAGACGCACCAATATGATCTGCAACACACACACACACACACACACACACACACACACACACACACACACACACACACACACAGCCTGTGTGAGAGGTGAAACGAATGGGCCATCTGACCCATGATGATGATACAAGCCAGCAAACATTATATAGTGGAGTTACGGGGAGAACGTCGTGTGTGTGCTTTTTTTTGAGCAGGTCCACTTTTTTTACCAGAAGCGGTGAAGTGGCCTGAACGTAGCTACCCCGGGTTATTTTTAAGTGCAATGGTACACAGATGTTCCTTGTATAGTGGAATGCTGTGAAAGTATTTTATACCATGTTAATTATAGATTTGCACTTTTTAAGTGCATGGAGGTAAATGGTCCTGGCCTTTACAGCCTTGTGCATCTGTGCAGTGTGAAGTTTAGTGTAGTTCCTTCGGTGATACCGTGCACAAAAATCTTAACCCAGTA